GATCTAAACACTGTTGATATAAACAATAGCTGTAATTTATTTCTGTCCTTTTAAGGCCTCCCTGGACATTATGGGAAAGTTGATTCCTGAAGTGGACTGTTCCTCCACTGTGAGCGCATTCTTAAAGCATTTTCTTTTTTTACCACAGTGGTTTGATTCAGAGACTCCTCCCTTGCCTCCAGCTGGCAGCGAAGAAGTGGAAAAACTGTAGCAAAACTGTTGAACTGTTTATTCTGATATAAACTAATGCTTAGTGCTTGTTTTTTTCTCCTTTCAATTCTTATTTGGCAGCACTGAGTTAACCCCTTCATTGGTTCAGAAACATAATCTTTTCATGTTTGCTGCATAAGGAAAAATAATTTTTGTTAATCTAAATGTCAATTTATGATTTTGTTTCCTCTGGTTTCCAAAAGGACTTAAAATTTTGGATTTTAATAGCTAAATAAACTGAAAGCATTAAATAGAACTTTAACACAGTATGTGTTGACAACTTCTGCAGCTGTAGAAAAACAAATGTGCCAAAGAGCGTGATTGCATTTCCCTGTCATGCTGGGCCAACACCCTTAAAGCCATACTCGTCAGTAATAGTGAATGAAATACATTTCCACTTAGGGTTTACTCCATTCTAAAATACATAAAGAAAAAAATGAGGAAAGACTTACTGCTTGCAAACATACAGTAAATTAATCTTCCTAAAATACATAATTTTATATACACTATATTGCCAAAAGTATTTGCTCACCCATCCAAATTATTGGAATCAGGTGTTCCAATCACTTCCATGGCCACAGGTGTATAAATTCAAGCACCTAGGCATGCAGACTGTTTTTACAAACATTTGTGAAAGAATGGGTCGCTCTCAGGAGCTCAGTGAATTCCAGCGTGGAACTGTGATAGGATGCCACCTGTGCAACAAATCCAGTCGTGAAATTTCCTCGCTCCTAAATATTCCACAGTCAACTGTCAGCTGTATTATAAGAAAATGGAAGTGTTTGGGAACGACAGCAACTCAGCCACGAAGTGGTAGGCCACGTAAACTGACGGAGCGGGGTCAGCGGATGCTGAAGCGCATAGTGTGAAGAGGTCGCCAACTTTCTGCAGAGTCAATCACTACAGACCTCCAAACTTCATGTGGCCTTCAGATTAGCTCAAGAACAGTGCGCAGAGAGCTTCATGGAATGGGTTTCCATGGTCGAGCAGCTGCATCCAAGCCATACATCACCAAGTGCAATGCAAAGCGTCGGATGCGGTGGTGTAAAGCACGCCGCCACTGGACTCTAGAGCAGTGGAGACGCGTTCTCTGGAGTGACGAATCGCGCTTCTCCATCTGGCAATCTGATGGACGGGTCTGGGTTTGGCGGTTGCCAGGAGAACGGTACTTGTCTGACTGCATTGTGCCAAGTGTAAAGTTTGGTGGAGGGGGGATTATGGTGTGGGGTTGTTTTTCAGGAGCTGGGCTTGGCCCCTTAGTTCCAGTGAAAGGAACTCTGAATGCTTCAGCATACCAAGACATTTTGGACAATTCCATGCTCCCAACTTTGTGGGAACAGTTTGGAGCTGGCCCCTTCCTCTTCCAACATGACTGTGCACCAGTGCACAAAGCAAGGTCCATAAAGACATGGATGACAGAGTCTGGTGTGGATGAACTTGACTGGCCTGCACAGAGTCCTGACCTCAACCCGATAGAACACCTTTGGGATGAATTAGAGCGGAGACTGAGAGCCAGGCCTTCTCGTCCAACATCAGTGTGCGACCTCACAAATGCGCTTCTGGAAGAATGGTCAAAAATTCCCATAAACACACTCCTAAACCTTGTGGACAGCCTTCCCAGAAGAGTTGAAGCTGTTCTAGCTGCAAAGGGTGGACCGACGTCATATTGAACCCTATGGATTAGGAACGGGATGTCACTTAAGCTCATATGTGAGTCAAGGCAGGTGAGCAAATACTTTTGGCAATATAGTGTATTTTAACCCTAAAGTGATTTCAAACATTCATATGAAAGACTGCATTAAAGCAATACATATTGACAGATGATAAAAATTAAATGTAAATTTTAAAATAAGTAAATGTAGGCTTTTTTTCTTATTTAGTAATTTTATTGTAGTAAAAATATGTATAGATTACTCTACCATGCTAGAAAACAAGTCGCACAAGCCGTTATTTACATTCACTGCTTTTAAATCCTTCTAGTGCCACAAGTTTGAACTTTTTCTGTACTTTTATCTATAAATCAGTTTTTATTTAGAAATAAAAATATGTACTGCTAAAAAAAATAAAGGAAACACTCAAATAATACAACCTAAACATAAATGAATTAAATATTCTCTTGAAATACTTTGTTCTGTACAAAACTAAATGTGCCGACAACAAAATCATTGAAAAATCATCAATTGAATTCCAATTTATTAACCAATGGAAGCCTGGATTTAGATTCACACTTAAAACAGGTCACAATGAGGCTCAGTATTGTGTGTGACCTGCAATGCCTGGGCTTGTTCCTGATGAGGTGGTGGATAATCTGCTAAAGCAGGGGTGCTCAAGTCCAGTCCTCAAGAGTTACTATCCTGCAACTTTTTGATGCACCCCGGTTTTAACACACCTGAATCAAATGAGTGGCTCGTTACCATGCCTCTGCTGAGCTAAATGAGGGGATTGAGCCTTTTGATTCAGGTGTGTTAGAGAAGAGATGTGTCGAAAAGTTACAGGATGGTAGCTCTTGAGGACTGGAGTTGAGCGCCCCTGTGCTAAGGGATCTCCTCCCAGACCTGGAGTAAAGCATCCACCCAACTCCTAGACAGTCTATGGCACAGGTGTCAAAGTCGTTCCAGAAAGGGCCGTGTGGCTGCTGGTTTTCTTTCCACCCAAGCAGTAGCACACCAGACTCCATTCATCCCATCAAGCCATCAGGTTAAGACTAGACTCACCTTGATGAGATGAATGGAGTCTGGTGTGCTACTGCTTTGGTGGAAAGAAAACCAGCAGCCACACGGCCCTTTCTGGAATGACTTTGACACCCCTGGTCTATGGTGTAACATGACTCTGGTGGATGGATCAAGACATGATGTCCCAGATGTGCTCAATTGGATTCAGGTTTGTTGGACAGGTGAGCCAGTCCATCGCTTCAATGCCTTCATCTTGCAGGAACTATTGACTCATCAGCCAGAAAGCATAGCTATTAAAAAGGTAGTCTGCAGTCCCCACCTGCAGAACCACTCCTTTATTAACTGTGTCTAGCTAATTGCAAATTATTTCCACCTGTTGTCTATTTGCAATGCATGTGAAATTGATTATCAGTTAGTGTTGCCTCCTAAGTGAACAGTTTCACATAAGTTTGATTTGACTGAAGTTATATTGTGTTGTTTATGTGTTCCCTTCATTTGTTTGAGCAGCAAATTTAAGTTTAGTGGCGCTCATTTGCAGCAACAAAGGAGGTGAGATTAAATTAAATGAAAAATGAACAACTCCCTCTAACTCAGTTCATTTTACTATTTACAAAGATAGCTTTTATCAAATATCATCTCAAAGAACTTTCCAAAACTGCAAACTTTAAATCGTATATATATTTAATAGGTGATATAATTATTACTGTGTAGAATTTAATTGTGCTTTATACAAATAGCTCAGAAATAAACATGCTTTTGAAGAAGTACACCCAAATGCAACTTCTTGTAGTTCAGGTACTTTTGTTCATGTGTTTCTTTAAAGAACAATTGTTTAGCTTTTTTTTTAAAGTATAAGATTCAATACTTTCTCTAATTTTAATTTGTCTGTTTTTATAATTCTAAAATTAGGGCTGGGTAGTAGCTGGTTACATTTATTTGAGTATTTATTATTATCTACTTTAAGAAGTAATATTACTGGACTTAATTCTTATTTTACTTGAGTAATATTCTTGAGAAGTATCACTACTACTTGAGTAAGTCTTCGCGCTCCTCTTTCAAAATATAGATTTTGTAAAGTATTGCCTCTGTAGTAATTCATTTGTAATCAAACCATTTATGTGTTTGTTTTTGAAGATATTTTACTCTGAGAAATACCAGTAGTTTAATGCTCCCTCTGCTACTTCTTGGCTGAGTATTTTTATGTCTTTTCTGTATTTGGAAAATTTTAAATATTCATTAATCACTGAATGGATCAGCGCGTCAATATATAACAGATTTATTGTCAGTGTATCAACCTCCCAGACCACTCCAGTTTTCTAGTTCAAGCCAACTCTGTCCACCCAGAACTAGAACCAAACAGTGAGACGCTGCAATTAGTTCCTGTGCTCCAGTGATCTGGAACAAACTCCCAGAAGCCTGTAAAAGTTCTGAAAGTCTGAGTTCTTTGAAGTCAAAGTTAAAAACCCATTTATTTAGAGCTGCCTTTGACTATTTAAGTTCAACTGTTATCTGAGGCATTCGTTTAAAGTTGGGATCCAACTGAGCAGAATAAAAGCAAGTTACTTGCTTTCGTGTAGTGATTGACTCTGCAGAATGTGGGCAGTCCCCTTCACACCATAAGCTTCATCATCCTCTGACCCTGCTCCATCAATTAACCTGTTCTACCACTTCATGGCTGCGTTGCTAGCTTTCACAAACATTTCCATTTTCTTATGATGCAGCTGACAGTTGACTTTGGAATATTTAGGAGCGAGCAAGGAAATTTCTGGATTTGTTGCAGAGGTGGGTCATATCACAGCTCCATGCTGGAATTCACTAAGCTCCTGAAAATTACCCATTCATTCTCAAATGTTTGTAACAAGAGCCTGCATGCCCAGGTTCCTGATTTTATACACCAGTAGCCATGGAAGTGAAAACCTGATTCCAATAACTTGAATTCCCTCAGACTGCCACAGGGTGTCACTGGTGAGACCCACAAATTTACAGATACTGGATTCCTTTTAGTTTTTTTAACCAAAGATTTTTTAAGATTTTTTTTCAGGTCCAGCCAGGGGCAGTAGTTTGTGTCTTTACAGGAGAATATATGTAACATTTAAAGAATGTTGCTCAGTTCCACGGTAAAGTTCAAAGCTTGATTTATTTATGAATGACAGACTTCTTCCAAAAAAGCGCAACAGAAAAACATAATTAAAATCTTAAAACTGCATAGGTTGACATGGATTCTCACCACAGCCTCAAATACTTTAACACAATTTGTCTATTTCTCTACATGTAAAAAAAAAAAAGAGCCACTTTAACTATTACATTCAGGTCAGTATTTCATTTTTGGCAGAACACACAACATTTCAAAGAGCAGGTTGGCCCCAGTCAAGGCAGTGTTTCCTGGTAAAGGGGGATAGAAGCAGATATCAAAACAGCGAAATATAGAAAGTGGAAAAAAAAAAAAAATTTGAATAGGCTCTTCTGTGTAAAATACCTGTAGTGTCATAGGGAGGAGAAACTTCCACTAGATCACATCCGACAAGGTTGAGCCCCCGACAGCCTCGGATAATTTCAACTCCCTAAAATTAAGAAGGTTTAAGATTATATTTTGGTGTTTGAGAAAAAAAAAATCACATTCTAAAAATGTGCTTTTCTTGAAAACAGTTACTTTAATAAAGTAATAAAAACAACATAGTTAGACTTCATGAGCTGGATACAGCTATGGAGAGCTGTTTCATTCAAAATTAAATAATTAGATAAATACATGAATAAATACAATTCTGTTATTGATAAATTGTTAATAAATATACTATAAAATGTCACCTTTAAAGATTTTTTAACTAACTTACAATGTCACAAAGCAATTGGGTATCGGGTTAAGAAATAAATGTCAATGAAAATTCTATTATTAGTAATATATTATCAGTAACTAAATCAATCTTAAAAAAAAAAAGATATAAATGTATCTATTTGATTTTACTTCATAGTGAAATGTATTTATTTTATTAAATATTTATAAATGTGTCAATAGCAGTTTTTATTTAGGTATTTATTAATTGAAAGCTAGCATAGAATAGAAATATATTTTATTGTCTACAGCAAAAAGTCTAATGGCAGCAAACAGGAAACTAAACAAACAAAAAAAAACTATAAACTGACTTAGATAAACCATGGAATAACTTAAGATGGGTCTAAATATCCAACCTTCTGACCAATGATAATGGCTGCAATTTACATCTACCTGTATGGGAGTGAGTCCTGCAATCTCTGGGGTTCCTGTTCCAGGTGCAAAACCTGGATCTAGAGCATCGATGTCAAAACTGAGGTAGACTGGACCCCTGCCCATCTGGGCCCTGACCTCGGTCATTAGAGGAGTGAGAGACTTGAACCAGCACTCTTCCACCTGGACCACACGGAAACCCTGCAGAAACGGAAACGGGTTAGCATGACATCTTCACCTGATAAACAGAAAGGATGCAGCTAATCTGGATAGCGCAGACGATCAGAGATGCTTTGATATGAATGCCTGGGAGTATATTAACCGGGTTCACACATTTAACTGTTTACCGTAATCCAAATGAGCAGGATCCTCTCATATTTTATACAAGTTCTAAAAAATGTTAAATTGAAGAGATTTTTGAAAAATCACAGAAGGAAGGAAAGAAGAAGAGAAGGTAAGAAAGAAGGATATGATGAAGGAAAAAATAGAATGCAAAAGGAAAGGCTGAAAGAAAACAAAAGAAAGAATTTAGGTGTGAGAATAAAGAGTAAATGAATAGGGGGAATGTAAAAGAAACAAACAAAACGGAAACAAGCAGTAAGCAGGGAGTGATAGAAGATACAAGGAGTAAATGGAATGAAGGAATGATAGAAGAGACGAATGAAATAATACAAATATTAGAAAAAAAAGGAAATAACAGAGGAGAGAAATAAAAAAAGAGGAAGGAAACAATTGAATAGCAGTGATACAAAAGAAAACAGAGAACAAAGAATGAGGGAACAAATGAAAAGAAAAGCGGAAAAAAATGTAGGACGCAAAGATATAAAAAAAAAAAAAAAAAGGTTCTTAGGTACAAACACTTCACAGCACCAGACTGCACTGAACTAAACCTCCAAACCACTGATTAGTGACATTTCTAACACTGTTACTGGTAATGCGGTGAAACTATCACATTAATAGAATCCCAGACTGTACCTGGGCCCGACTCCACTCATAGGAGTCGGCTGAGTAACCCGACCCTCGCAGGCCAATCTGAACCACCCTCTGACAGTCCAGGAGCCCCTCCTCCACACAGCGTCTGAACGGAGTCCCATGGCCGATCTTCTCCCCAAGAACCACGTCACTGGTGTCAGCGTGAGCATCCACATGGACCAAGCCCACAGGGCCGTACCTGAGTCAACAAAGAAAAACCAGCCAAAGGATTCAAGAGATGTTGGAAGATACAGTGATTATTTGTGATTTAAAAAAAAGTCCAGCACTGTTTTGGTGCAAAACTTGGTGCAATAATTCAATCTGTGATTTTAAAGGTTTTAAATCAAAGTAGATATTAAATCATTTTTTAGCTTTTATATTTTCTACCATTCTTGACTTCCAAAAATTCAATGTGGCTATAAACACCACAAACAGATGTCTAACAGTCATAAATAAATGTAATTAAAATATTTGCTTTCACAGAAGAGAAAGAATCCCAAAAAACTTAGTTTTATAAAAAAAATAAGAGAGATTACAATATATAAAAATGTATTCACGTTTTTCAGTTTGAGGCCTATTTGAAGCTTTGATTGCAAAGATCCCTTTATGCCAGACTGAGTCCTGCAAAGAGATCTGTAAGGCTACGTTCACACTGCAGCCTGAAGTGACCCAAATATGATTTTGTTTTTGCTCATACACTCACCGGCCACTTTATTAGGTACCCCATGCTAGTAACGGGTTGGACCCCCTTTTGCCTTCAGAACTGCCTCAATTCTTTGTGGCATAGATTCAACAAAGTGCTGGAAGCATTCCTCAGGGAGTTTGGTCCATATTGACATGATGGCATCACACAGTTGCCGCAGATTTGTCGGCTGCACATCCATGATGCGAATCTCCCGTTCCACCACATCCCAAAGATGCTCTATTGGATTGAGATCTGGTGACTGTGGAGGCCATTTGAGTACAGTGAACTTATTGTCATGTTCAAGAAACCAGTCTGAGATGATTCCAGCTTTATGACATGGCGCATTATCCTGCTGAAAGTAGCCTTCAGAAGTTGGGTACATTGTGGTCATAAAGGGATGGACATGGTCAGCAACAATACTCAGGTAGGCTGTGGCATTGCAACGATGCTCAATTGGTACCAAGGGGCCCAAAGAGTGCCAAGAAAATATTCCCCACACCATGACACCACCACCACCAGCCTGAACCGTTGATACAAGGCAGGATGGATCCATGCTTTCATGTTGTAGACGCCAAATTCTGACCCTACCATCCGAATGTCGCAGCAGAAATCGAGACTCATCAGACCAGGCAACGTTTTTCCAATCTTCTATTGTCCAATTTCGATGAGCTTGTACAAATTGTAGCCTCAGTTTCCTGTTCTTAGCTGAAAGGAGTGGCACCTGGTGTGGTCTTCTGCTGCTGTAGCCCATCTGCCTCAAGGTTCGACATACTGTGGGTTCAGAGATGCTCTTCTGCCCACCTTGGTTGTAACGGGTGGTTATTTGAGTCACTGTTGCCCTTCTATCAGCTCGAACCAGTCTGACCATTCTCCTCTGACCTCTGGCATCAACAAGGCATTTCCACCCACAGAACTGCCGCTCACTGGATGTAGGGCTGCAACTAACGATTATTTTAAAAATCGATGAATCGGGCGATTATTTTTTCGATTAATCGATGAATCGGACAAAAAATATTTTTATTTTATTATATATATATATATATATATATATTATATTTTTTTCCAAAATAAACATTTTAGACAGAACAAACAAGCACACAAGTACAGGTTGCTCATTAACTGTACTGGTGCAATATGAAAAATAAATGTTTGTGTTAAAACTACGCAAACTTACATGAGAAATGTAGCTGTACATCCACAAAATATAGGGTACTTTGTTTCATAAAGTGCATAAAAAGACATTTTTGTTTTCTAAAGCCCCTAAGGGGTTCAAACAATAGGCCCCCCCATTTCAACAAATGAGTTTGTTTTTTTTTACTAGAAGAGTTCTGCCTTTTAAGACAGGAAAGTATAGCAGTTAAAGTTGCTACTTGAGAAAATACTGAACCATAGAGATAAAAATAGCCCTGTGATTCAAATTATAAATTGTATTTGGAATAAAAATGAGAGAACTAGGGGTGATAAAAAACACATCCTCCAAAGACAGATATTTACATGGGAATGTGGCAGATAATTAATTGACATATTACTGATCTTGCTGGATTTTATACTTTACTTAAATAAATTGCAGGATCTTCTTTACTTTATCTTTGCCAGAAGATTTAAACTTCAAAAGCCTTTCCCTCATAATTTGCAAGATAATTTATTTATAAAGGCTATTTTAATTATTGTGATCAATTTGCACCGTCAATCCCGGCACATGCGCGCTTCATTTGCAGTCTGGACGCTGAAACAGGCTGCAGCGGGATGCTTCTCCAAGTACATCCTGCGGCTCTGATTGCAGCGATGAGAGAGATTCCTGCGGGAGAACGGGGTTGGGAGGGGGGAGGCGCCCCACGGCAGCAGCTGCCGCTGGAGGACAAGATTAGGAACGATACATGCTTTCACGTAAGAGTCTCCAAAAGCCGCCAGTAACACCGTAAAAAGTCGCCAGATTTGTCGCTAGTCACTTTTTAAAAAAAAAATAGTCGCTGGAGGGGTCTGAAAAGTCGCTAAATATAGCGACTAAGTCGCTGAGTTGGAAACACTGCGCACATGCGGCGCTGACTCGCTCTGCAGTATCTTTTTTTTTCTTCCCCCGTTTCAGTCAAGTGGCAGTGATAATGGCGGCAGCGGATGACGCATTAATCGCGCGACACAACTAATCGATGATGAAATTCGTTGCCAACGCTTTTAAAAGTCGATTTTTATCGATTTTATCGATTCGTTGTTGCAGCCCTAACTGGATGTTTTTTCTTTTTCGGACCATTCTCTGTAAACCCTAGAGATGGTTGTGCGTGAAAATCCCAGTAGATCAGCAGTTTCTGAAATACTCAGACCAGCACTTCTTGCACCAACAATCATGCCACGTTCAAAGTCACTCAAATCACCTTTCTTCCCCACACTGATGCTCGGTTTGAACTGCAGGAGATTGTCTTGACCATGTCTACATGCCTAAATGCACTGAGTTGCAGCCATGTGATTGGCTGCTTAGAAATTAAGTGTTAACGAGCAGTTGGACAGGTGTACCTAATAAAGTGGCCGGTGAGTGTATATGTGACCTATATCTGATCTTTTCTTGTGACTCTGAATAACAGAAACCATTATTTTCAAATGCGATGGATATGTGGTTCTAAATCTGATACATATATGATCTTTTCAAATGTGACCTCTGTCTGCAAAGCAAGACAAGTTTCTACCAGGAATTTATTTTTCAATTTTTTCTTAAACGGTTACATGTAAACCTTTGTTGGACAGCCTTAAAAATCGTCATCTCATTCATCCTCTAGAAATGATGCACACTTACTTCTCAGCAACAGCTTGCAGTATTGGGTACGCGATTGTGTGATCGCCACCTGCAGATAACAAGATGTTCTTAATATCTGAGCTACAAAAGAGCCTGCTATGCATTTCGAAGGACCATTTAAGTTAATGATTACTGCACAGTCGAGTCAGAGCTGGTCTCCAGATGCTATAAATCATTCACTAAGTTATTGTTTTCTGCAAACCCGAGCAGACAGTAGATAAAGTGTATTTGCGCTTTGTGTCTCTCAGCTTTTCTCACCCATAGTCAGAGGGATGCAGCCCGTGGACAGGATCTTTCTGTAGGCCTCTCTGATGCGTTTGCAGGTGTCTTTCAAATCATACACGTTAACGTTTATGTCCCCGATGTCGGCAACCATCAGGCACTCGTAAGGCGCCGCCCTGGTGCCGCTGTTGTAAGCCCTGAGCAGAGCAGATTCCACTCTGATCTGCCGTGGACCAAACCTGTGGAGCATGTGAAAAGACTAGACATTAACAATACGCAGTTTAACCAAATAATGTGAGACCATGGGTAAAGTCTTTTGCTAAAAAAGTTGTAAATTAATTTATTAAATGTATTGCCATTTATTTAGAGCACATTTTGTGAGCAATTCCAGACTCTATATCATAGATTGGCCTCTAAAAGGTTAATGAGAGTGTGAGCTGGCTTTAGTCAATTGGGAGGGCTAACTATGATTCTGATGAAGTCTTTGGCAGCTCCCAATACACTAGACCACAGCAAGCATAAGTTTATTTGATATATTTAGACCAAACTAAAGATATACAGGCTGGATTTGCTCACACAATTTGCTGTAAATAAATTTAAAAACACCATTCTGAAATTATTTCTGCCTTCCCAGTAATAATCTTGACTTTAGAGTAAAAGAAAATGAAGTTGTTTTATTTTGCTTAGTGAGAAACAACTAATACGCTAATTAACTAGCCTCTCTAGGTCTGTTCAGAACCAGAATCTCCTTCTTTCTGGGTCCATTCAGAACCAGAACCTGTTCCCCTCTGGGTCCGTTCAGAACCACCTCCTCATCTGTGTTCATTCAGAACCAGAATGTCTTCCTGGAATTAATAGGCTAATTAATTAGTGAGAAACAGCTAATTGTGTATATTTAATGGAGGCCCATATAATTTATTATATATTTATTAAATAAAGTATATATTTATTTCCAGGTTCAATAAGGATTTCATTAGTTATTTGTTTATTGTATTGCTGAACTCGTCATCCTTTTACCAAATAATTACAGGTCATTTTATTGTTGACTATTTGTTGTTTTTTAAGAAAAGTAAATGGAGCTCTGTTTTTGTTTGCGTCTGTGTGCTTTAAAAATGTAGAAACAAGGGATGCATCTTTAACCCCCCAGTTCTTCTTCGCTCAGTGTAAAATATGATCGAAGAAAGCCGCTCCAACACTTGAAATGCACCCGTATTACAGACGTTATAGTAAAAAAAAAATCAAGAAAAAAAAGCCTACAGCTTGTACTGACTTCCGGTTTTCAAAATAGTAGTGGAGGCAAGGTTTTGAAGTCGAAAAGGTATCAGGTATGATATATTAATATCTATTACAAATATATATTTAGAGATTTGATATGCTGGGCAGGATTCACAGTCATCCAGGTCATAGTCGCCACTCAAGACATTTTGAGCTGAGAAAGCTTCCTGGATGGGAAGCAAAATGTCTTCAAATTTGAAAATCAAAGTTCAACGTTTTTTTTTTTTGTTTTTTTTTTTTTTTTACTTTGTTAGAGATTTGTCATGCAAAAATAAAATATGCAACTTTAAAAGACAGTGGGGTGCTATGACCCCACAAAGGTTTGGATCGAATTGATCATATGACCAGGAAGCTATTGAGCAAAAGGATATTTCCATATAAAAGTTTAATTTTAAATAATTTGAGATTTGAAATCGATAAATAAAAGCCTTAACTCTTGAAGATAATCGAGTGCTATGATTCAACACTGATTTTGCGTCAAATAAGCAACCTGGAAGCTTCTGAGCTAAAAGCTTACAAACTAATGAAAAATCATTCGAGGTTTGAAGTGCAAAAATAAAAACAATAACTTAAAAATGCATAAATGTGGATATTAATAGATTTAAATAAATATATATTTTTTTGCAGATTGATTATTGATAAAAGTAGATAATGACAATGTACAATACGCTCGTCCCAGAACTTAAACCTGAAAGAATTTTGTCCACTATACCTTTCATTTACATAGATGTTTACATAGATGTCATAGATGTTTAAATATATGCCTGTATTTGTTAGGCTGCAGGAAAGAATAGTTTGTCTTTATTTAGACAATATGGATGTTGTTCGTGTGCCTGTTGGAGCAGTGTAGATTGACCCTGAGGTTCTGGTGCCTTTTGCCCCCCCTCAATGTACATTGGATATTGACTGGCCGCCCTTATAAAAAATTTCTGGCTACGCCTCTGTTCACGCAATCCTCTGGGAAGAAAATTATTATGCAGTGCAGGAGCGTTAAAACTGTTACACCAGATAATTAAGGGACAAATGGCACCTTGCTCCGGGCCGGTTAGAAGTCCCAGTATCAATCGGAACACCAACAAACGCTGCGTCCAGCCCGTCGGCCGTCTCCTGGTAAGGCAGCTTGGCCATGGTGGGGATCCCGGAGACCCGAGCGACAAACTCGGCGCTCGGTGGAACATTGTAACGGCTCCCGGAGCTTCTCCTGCTCTGCGTCAAACAGCCCCCGGTTCGACTGCTGCGCTGAGCCGAAGCCTGCCGCGACGATAAGGGGATTTTCACAGCCGCAGCTCGAGTTCTACAGAAGTTTCTCCAAAGTAGAAACATTTTGTTGACTTTAGTCTCCTGTAAATGAGTGAAACAGTCATGTGCCAAAGGCCAGGCCAGGCTGAATTCATATCTGCTGCGTTTGGGTTTATATTTAAGCTCGTAAATTTTAAACCTGCCTCTAAACTAAAGGAGGACACAGAAATGCACTGTAATTACGGTATCTGAAAATGACAAAATATCGCATTAAGTTTAATATTTAAATGCTAAATGAATCAGAAGAATTTATATTACAGTAGATGGTAGATAATATATTTTCCTCAATTATATGCCTGTAATTCTTAAAGGAATAGTACACCCAAAACATGATTAGCCTTCATTTTCTACTCACCCCCATGCTGAACAACACTCTGGAGTACTTTTTTGATATCTCAAATGCATCTGGAGATCTGGGAGGCTTCTTGCTGTCTGCTGACATTCAAATAATGGAGGTCTATGGTGACCGAGACAGAAAGGTCCATAAAAGTCCACAAAAAACGTGTTAATATTCCTCCATACTGCTCGTCCAATGTATTCCAAGTGTCCTGAGTGGGTAGCATCCAGAATTTACTCGAAACGAAGTCATTTAGAATGTTTTTAGAGCATAAACAGTAGTGTATAGGATTTCCTGAAAGCGCGCACATGCGTGCTCACGACGCTACGGAAGCCGGCAGACAAACCAGATGAAAGTGCGCATTCAGCGTCTGCTCTGCCAATAATGCAAGCGTAGAAGAAGAAATGTGCTGTTTACCTGTGCAAAGAAAGAAACAACGAAAGAAAAATGTCTGAGGACTTCAGTGTTGAGGAAGAGCATGAGTTCTTTGCCGAGCTGAATGCGCTGGTTTGGTCTGCCGGCTTCCGTAGCGTCGTGAGTGCGCATGTGTGCGCTTTCAGGAAATCCTATACACTACTGTTTATGCTCTTAAAACATTCTAAATGACTTCGTTTCGAGTAAATTCTGGATGCTACCCACTCAGGACACTTGGAATACATTGGACGAGCAGTATGGAGGACTATTGACACGTTTTTTGTGGACTTTTATGGACCTTTCTGTCTCGGTCACCATAGACCTCCATTATTTGAATGTCAGCAGACAGCAAGAAGCCTCCCAGATCTCCAGATGCATTTGAGATATCAAAAAAGTACTCCAGAGTGTTGTTCAGCATGGGGGTGAGTAGAAAATGAAGGCTAATCATGTTTTGGGTGTACTATTCCTTTAACAATACGACAGTATCTGAATGCAGCAAAAGTTTAATCTGCAGATGGAAAAGCCACTTTATATAACAAGTCACATTGTCATTTTCACATGTGATTTTAAATCGTTTAAATTAGGGGTTTGTTAAAACATTTAAACTTTTGTCCTATATACAATTTTTTTTGTTTTTTTTTATTTTGACTTTTTTTATTTGGAACCTGTGCTTTAATGGAGATATAATGTGGCATGCCCCAGCAATTAGTTTGTGAGATCTAAAAAAGACCAACATGTCAACCTCCTTATAGTTTAAAAAGAACAAAAAAGAACAACATTTGGTTTTTGGATAGGCATTGTTAAAGTCTAAAATCAAATTGTTTAATTTCATTATGGGTTCTATTTGTTTAAAAAATAATTAAATTGTAATACTTGTAGATGTTGTTGGTTTATGTTGTTGCTGTCATTGCTTGATGTCTATGTTGCTCATATATATGTTGAATATGATTTAGGTCTACAACTAAGGATTATTTTGCAAATCGATTAATCTGTCGATTATTTTTTCTATTAATAGATTAACATCTGATAGCCAAAGGTTCCTTAAGAAAATATCTTATCTAAATTAAAGGGAAGTGCCATTTTTTTTTTTTTTTTTTTTTTTTTACATTGGGCCCTTGATAGAATTTTTTTTACGGTAAATCAATCTAAATGTATTGTCTCTTAAGATTACACTTGTTGTGAATTGATGCTGTATAAATAAACTTATTTGAAAAAAATTACCAGTTTAGTTATTTGTTATGTGATTTGATTTTTGTTTGTGGAAATCTGGATTTGCCTTCCCTCTGAGCAACGCTCAGTACCTTCAGGCCTTGTTGGTTCTCCCTCTACTTTTAGTGGGAATGTTCTGGGTTGTGTCCTCCAGAACAAAAAAAAAAAAAAAAGATCTGTCTTCATTTTAATCTTCTGATTTTAATCTGTTGAATAGAAACTGAAACAACTTAAATTTTCTCACATTGTTATTTAGTCAATTAAACCTAGATGGAACCTGAATGTGTGTTTTTGGGTCAACACTTCACACTACCGTAATCAATGCTAACCTTTACTAACATGCTGCTGCTTTTGATGGTGGTCCTTCATAGAGAGCTTCTGTTAATAAGCTTTGGACTCTTCATGGCTCCTGCTTTAGTTTGGATCTTACCAATGTTTCAGTTCGGCTTGAGTTTTCCCATCTGACTTTACATACCTACCCACCTACTTCTCCTCTAGCTGAAATAAACAATCACACTGCCTTTCTCTGTCCTGACTTCAATCATTTGGCTACAACTCTCTTGGCTGTTATTATCCATCCATCTTCTATCACACTGTATCCCAGCTGGGGTACTGGTGCCTATCTCCAGCTGTCTATTGGCAAGAGGCAGGGTACACACTCACACCTAAGGAGAATGTAGAGAAGCCAATAAACCTAACAGTCATGTTTTTGGACTGCGGGAGTAAGCCAGAGTACACGGAGAGAACCCATGCATGCACAGGGAGAACATGCAAACTCCATGCAGAAAAAAACCTGGGCTTGGAATTGAACCCAGAACCTTCTTGCTGCTAGGCAGCAGTGCTACCCACTCTACCACTAAGCTACCACTAATTATATAACTCAAACTTTGAAAATTAGTTCATGGTGATATCAGGGCTGTGAACTCTCACCCATTGGGAGTGAGATTCACCCACCTCAGTGTCTTCACACACTCTCACTCCATATTCCCAATTTCTTACGCAATAAAAATTTATTAAAACTCAACTCCGTTCCACTCATGTATAAAAATACCATGATGATCAAAATCAATTCTGCGTTTTTAATACGTTAGTGCTAACAGACAAGGACTAGCCAGGTTCATATCCAGTCCGTATTCCCACCTATTCACTGTGTCAGATATTGAACAAAGACTGCTGTTACGAGGTATGTCATTTTAATTTTTATCTTATCTCATCTGCACTAGTATAATTCTCTTTGTAAATTATTGGAGATTTTAAGCAATCTAGTACTTGAGTAAATATGGATAAAATCTATAGCAGCTTGCAAGTCAATTGAGAAACGGCACCAGATTTATGCTGTGCGCTCCCATTCTCACCAAGTCCAGACTTGCCTGCGTTCTTGACTGTGATTTGATGAATTGAGAAACTTTTTGTCTTTTTTGGGGGGGGAACTTTATTTAAACAAAGTAAATACAAACCGGTAAGGCAATAGCAACTGTACAAATCTGTGAAAGGCATAGTAGAGGCATATTTAAAAATAGAAGTATAAGGCATTATTGATAAGGAAAAAAAAATTTATAAAAAGGAAGCACGATCTGTTCTACGCATGCCACATCAGGTAACATGCGCATGAGCGACCAGATATACATCTATGTCATCCTCGAATTTATTTTGTTAAAAAGACCTAAATAATGTTTTCCCTCCCCAAAAATAGTAAACGTACTAAAATATGTGTTAAAGGTTAATAATGTATTTCCTGAAAAAATAAATGCCTTTAAATCCTTTCTGTTTTCTCACTCGTCTCTGTCCGATCTGCACCAGAAACTTCCGGTGGTACATTTTTTTGGCTTTGGATTTAAACAAAAATTTAGTCTTTTTGAGTTTATGTTTTCGTTTCTTTTTAATCGTATGCTATAAAGTGAATAATCTAAATAAAGAAATAACTAAAATGCAGATAAACATTTCGCCGGACTACTCTGAGCATGTCTGATGATGACGTCAGAGAAGCAGTTTAATGAAGAAAATGTAAAAATGCATAAACATTGTCTCACAAAAGTCATGACACATTTTTTTTTACAGATGTTTATTAGTATCCTTTAGTGAGTTGAGGATAGAAAGAAATACTTTTAGTACCATTATTACATTATTTATGGACACCCGGATCTATTCGTGCATGCGCAGAACGGATCGTGCTTCCGGGACGGACACTCCACACCAGTTGGTGGCGGTAATGCTCGCCTTTCAAGTCGTTTTTGCCAACCTCCAGTTAACAACACAGGAAGAAGAAGAACTTTGCTTCCTCCGTTAACTTCCCACACCTTCGTTGCTAATGCTGCCTGCAGTCCGCAGCTCCTTTCCACCGCGATAATGTCACACTGTTGCATAAATGGTTGCAATAACCGTTACAAACCGGGAACAAGAATCAATTTCTACAGAATTCCCAACGGGACACGTCAGTTTCATATCGACAGGAAGCGTTTATGGATAGAGGCGATTGAACGAGCCAATGGGAGCAGCGAGGGAATTACTTCAGCGGATCGCATCTGTGGCGCTCATTTCATCACAGGTAACTCATCGGGCATATAACAATGTGACAAGTCTCTGAAATATTTCTCTATATTTTTATTGTATTTGTTTTTAAAGGACAGGCTTCTACGGATCCAGAAAGGCCTAATTTCGTTCCAACCTTGTTTGCATGCACCAAACTACGTCAGAGTAAAAGGTAAGATGCATTGCATGTTTTTAATACGGTAACTACAGTTTGTAATAAAATATTAGATTTTTTTCCTTTGAAATAGTTAATGACTGGCGTGTATAATTAATTCTTTTGTAATTTTTTTTAAGTGTAAAATTTTTTAAGGTGCACACTTTTTTGTCATTTTAGTGAAATAAAGTCAAGCAGACAGTGAGAGTGTTTGTGCAAATTGGGCAAAAATGAGCAAAATGAAAGGTGTTAGTCATTTTTATTCAAACATAATAATTTTCCACATTCTTTTGGCTTTAATGGGGTTGGAAGTGGTGTTCAACCAATCTTTTGGCTAAACCGACCTAATTTGGCAGCGTTTTTACCAAATCTATATTTTTACTAGGGCAGACCAATGCAAATTAATCTCATTAGCCAAAATAATTAAGTATAATCGCAACATTCAAAAGTCAAAGGTGGGTCTTGAACCATCAACCTCAGGATTTAGTGTCTGTCTTATAGATGACGTCACTAATGTTGTTAACTGTTTAATGGCGAAAATGCTACTTAACATTGATGTTCCAACTCTGTCAGGTGGCTTGCTGAGATTTTGATCATTACATTGTTTATTCTAACCAAAATAGTTTTAAGCAGCTAGATTTGTTGGAAAAACAACCGTGCTTTGGTGGCGAAGTATGACCCATGTACAGAGGCCTTATGCTGCGTTCACACCGGGGGCAGCTGGCGCGACAGAAGCAGCGAGTTTACATGCAAAGTCAATGGTTGACGCGCGTCAAGGCGCAGCAAAAAGTCCCGCGGCGCGTTTCGAGCAGCAAGCGCAGCGCGTCTGAGCAGCTGAAGCAGCGCGTCGGGCGCGTTTTGGCATCTGACGCGCGTGACGCGCCGCAAACGCGTTGCTGCTCGAGATGGAAAAATTGAATTTTTGCTGCTCGACGCGCCGCGTCAACCAATCAGAGAAGCTGATCTGGGAGCTGGCTGGGAGAGAGACACAGTGCTGATGACACAGACCGCTCTGATTACTCCTCTTAAACAGTTTATTAGCGCATAATTAACTTAAAATATATACATCTGCCGGCAGAATATGTTGGCTTTTATTATTCTGGTGCCTGCAGATCGGATTATTTAGATGAAAAACACCTACCAGCCACCGCGGTAAACCGCGAGGAGGTGACCCAGCCAGAGGCTGCTGATGAATGGATTCCTTCTGTCGGCGCACCGCCGGTATGTGGGGGTCTGAGCGGCTCCGACAGAAATAACATTGGGAGGCAGGATTGTAATCTGGATGAACTGACTGCACTGATGAAGTTTTCAGGTGTATTTTCTCACTTAAAAACATAATAAAACTACTTTATTCCCACTGATCACAGCAAATATAGCTTCAAGGCAGAGAAAGGATAGTGAAGCTCCGCCCAACGCGCGTCAGACACACTTTTGGACCGCGCAGCGAGAGCAGCAAAGCTGCTTCAGACGCGCGTCAGAATTCACTGGTACAAGCAGCAAAAATGAAGCAGCAGACGCGATTTTGCTGCTTTTGCTGCCCCCGGTGTGAACGCAGCATTAGTCCTCGACGCGGCCGACCTGGGTTCGAATCCAACCTGTGGTCCTTTACCTCATTTCTCTCCCCCCTCTCTCATACTCCCTTTCCTGTCAGCCTGCTGTCCGCAAAACGAGCCACTAGTGCTGTAAAAACAAAACAAAAGAATAAATAAATCTGACTTCCATTGATTTTTGTGTGGTTTGTTGTCAGCACATTCAACTTTGTCCTGAATTTACAAAAGTTTTCTGGAATCTGCTTAAGTACCTCTTTTTGGTATCCATCGTCACTAACTCATTGTACGTAACTGTTATGGTTTTAATCTACGCTCTGGGTTACCCATAATTCCAAGTCATAGTGTAAAAACTAAAATACTCAAATACTTTGTTCTTTTAAGATCTTTATTGCGGTTTGAAACATTTTATATGAGTGTATTATTTACCAACCGTCTAATGAACTATACACAGTTATTAACATAGTAATAAAAGCACCACTGTCTGCTTTGCTAATAGTATCATGTTTAAACAGCTCACCATCATGTTGAAATCTGGCATGGGTTGCGGTATAAATACGGACTGGTGCGGTCGGTCACTTCAGTATCAGGTGGGATTAAGAGGAACTTTTTGCATCATTACATCTGCAAAGAGACGTCCTAGTCTACAATTGGGTAGACTAGGACGTGGTGTCAGTGATGGGGCCCCTAAGAGGTTGTGGGGCAGTAAGCAACTGCTGTCTTTCTTTACCAATATTTATGCCATAGATCTTCCTCCAAATATTATCTATTAAATTCAAATTGGATCTGCGATTACTTTTAGTCAGAAGGAACGGGTTTGTACAAAACATAAGACTCCACCAAAGTAAAATCTTTCTATGTTATGAATCATTTTAGGATTAACTGTTGGCATCAAACTAACCTCACGTTTTAAACACTTGTATATATTATTTAAATCATTTCATTTAATTTTTTTTTAAACATTTTCCTTTCTTTTTCAAAGGCTTTCAAAGGGAACCAAAACAACAACAACAACAATAAGAGGGTGTGCAAAGACCAGAAGCCAGGCTATTTTGCCAGAGGATTCAGTCACAAAAAGAAACCCAACTGCATCGAAAGAGCATGCAAAGGCTGTAAACACAACTACATCGAAAGAGCATGCAAAGGCAGTAAACACAACTACATCGAAAGAGCATGCAAAGGCTGCAAACCCAACTACACTGAAAGAGCATGCAAAGGCTGCAAACCCAACTACACTGAAAGAGCATGCAAAAGCTGCAAACACAAATCCACTGAAAGAGCATGCAAAGGCTGCAAATCCAACTACATTGAAAGAGCATGCAAAGGCTGCAAATCCAACTACATCGAAAGAGCATGCAAAGGCTGCAAATCCAACTACATCGAAAGAGCATGCAAAGGCTGTAAATCCAACTACACTGAAAGAGCATGCAAAGGCAAACACATCAACAGTGGCAGAAAATCCAGTGACCAAAAACACTCCAACCGTAAAAGAGGATGCAGGAACAGAAAACAAGCCTTCCCTGATAGAAGATGAAGAGATGCAAATATCGCCAACCCAACCTGCATCTGAGTCTCCTTTGAACCATCAGACCTTTACCGTGATGGAAATTGGAGATGAATTTGTACCTGAAGTGCAGTCTTCATTGTCCACATCGGCATCAAAGGTAGCAAACAACCCCTTTTTATTATGTTTACTTTGTATGTTCAGCACTTACAGCCTTGCTAATTTTGTAATCTTTGAATATTTTATTCTTCTTTCACTATATCAATGAAGCTGTGTTTTTTTTGGCATCTATCCATCTAGGAAGAAGAAGCAGAAGACAAGAAGATCTACAATGAAGACCAAACTGCACCTAAAAAAATCAAACTTGAGAACAAATACATCCTAAAAATACCTCCTCACTACAGAGACATCTTAAAACTAGATCGAAAACCTGTTGTTCTCCTAAAGCCCTTGGTTCCTCCACAAGATGTCTCTCAGGCGGATCTGAACGATCAGACATTGACTGAAGCATCAGAGAAAGAGTGTGAAGAAGGAAACATGTGTCAGACAGGTTTAACTGAGTCCTCTTTAGTAACCAAGGATCATTCATCCTTTCCATGTAACATGTGTGATCGAACTTTTAGTACAAGTCACTACCTGAAGCGCCACAAACTGCTTCACGTTCGAGATGTGAGGAAGTGCCTCAGGTGCGGCGCTCTCTTCTGCCGCCGCCACAACCACGTTTTGTTCCAGACACGATCAGAGCCTCTACCAGTGTCTGAGGAGAGTTCCTCCAGCAGCGAGGATGAATCTTTAAACAGTGATTCAAACACAGAAAACGGACAAACAAGCGAAACAACAGAAACGGCTGATAAGACTTTGAGTATACAGACTAATGCCCCTCCAAGCAGTCCTGCTTTCACAAACTCGCCTGTACTGACAGTTTCTCCTCTGACAAACACCAGAAAACCTCTGCTGGAGTCAGTAAAGCCTGCTGCTGTGCCCCGTCCACCCTCTCCGATCTTCAAAGTCCCAAATAACCAAGCAACCGTGTTTCAGATCAAACCGCTCCGGTTGGGTCCCTCACCTTCTTTGATGCAACCAAATGTCCAACAACCGCAACTCCCATCTTCACTGAAGGTCTTTTCGAGTGAACACCTCACCTCAGCTCTGCTTGATGTTCAGAGAAATTACGAATACATTTTAGGAAAGTCTAAAACGGAAGTCCAAGTCAAGGAGGAGCCAGAGGATCCAAGTCAGATCTGCCCTGTTGAGGAGCCCGTCACTCGTGTCAAATTGGAGAAAATTGCGTATGACCTGGAGATGGTAATTTAACCTAAAGCTGCTAAAAGAACCTACTCTGGGTGATCATTAAATGCCCAATTAAAGTGTATGCTAATTTGCATATCTTTACATATTTTTGATACGGATCTGCTTTTTTATGTATTACACTTCACTGAACAAATAGGCATTCTGTCTTAGTTTTTTTTTTTTTATTTGTAGCATCATATTCATCCAGTTTTCTGCACACAGCTAACATTAGATACAGTTTTATATACAGGAGATTCTCATTTCAGTCTTCTATCTACCTCAGCTAGCTGTTCACAAGTAGAAATTGCGTGTTTTACTGCAGATCTGTGCTGCTTTTGGACATAAGTACAAACATGCCTATTATCTAGTATTAAGCTTGTATTCAGAGGCATGTGTTCCTTCCAGCAAATGTCTTTAAGATCAGCTGTAAACTTCTTCTCTACCTTCTACAGCAATAAAGCAAACTTTGTGCATTTTGGCTCTGACTGAATTCTACATATAAAAAAAAAACTGCTTCATTGCCCTTGATTTGTTTTTTTGTTGTAAATAATGCTTCCCTGTGTAGAACATAACACATCAACCATCTTAATTAATCATCTCATTAATGTGTTTCATGGAGTTTTCCAGATTTTTTTTTCCTTGGCAAGGAAAGTGCTGCACAGTGGGTAGCACTGCTGCCTTGCAGCAGGAAGGTTCCGGGTTCAATTTCCGGTCTGGGGTTTTCTGCATGGACTTTGCATGTTCTCCCTGTGCATGTGTAGGTTCTCTCTGGGTACTCCGACTTCCTCCGTCAGTCCAAAAAAATGACTGTTGTGACTCCTGAGGTTTAAGTTTGTGTGTGAATAGTTGTTCATCTCTCTGTTGCAATAGACTTGCAACCTGTCCAGGGTGTACCCGCCTTGACAGCTAGAGATAGGCACCAGTGACCCCAGCCAGGATAGGCGTGACAAAAAATTGATCAATGTTTCTAGAAGTTGAGTTAAATGCAAAGTCAATTTTTTTTTTTCTAAAATACACAAATATCAATCTCCCTTAGGATGTGGTCTGTACCTTTTTTGAATATACTAAATAAAAAGGTATAATGGATCAATAAATGTTAGATTTCCAGTGTTTGGTTATTTTATATTTATAGTGCATGCTTAACTCTGGCCTAATGTGATAATTCATTTAAACTGTTTTGGCATTCTCAGAATAGTAGTTGCCCTCCTTGGCTTTATTTTTATAGTATTGTTGCTTTGCTCGGCATTAAGTTAAGATTATAAAGCTATTAGTGTTAAGTGATTTTTTTTTTTATACACAGAATCCCAATTCTACATTTTTTTTTTTTTTTTTTTTTTTACTGCATCTTTCGGTTACATTTGTATTATTCATCAAGACTGACCGGATATTATTCGTTTGGTTAAATAAATTATTAAAGGCCAGAGGGCCTTCCTGTGTAACCTCCATCAGCCAGAGGTGCACCTGACTCCCATCTGCAAGCTGTACGCGTCCAATTGGTTTGGCTCTCACTAGCAGACGTCTCTGATTGGATGATTCACTATTCAGGCTAAATCACTTGAAGCTCTGATTGGCTGAAACTCTGAGAGCCCAGTTTTCTATTGGTGGGTGACACAGCCGCATGCCTTCATACATGTTAAGTGTGCCGATGCTGTGACAATGGGTTTGATCCAGAAATGCATCATCTAGATCGGGGATCCTGCAGACCTGAAGGAGTAAAGAAAAAACAGCTGGATAAAGATCAAAGGGGGAGGGGGGCTGCTGCTCGGAAACGGTGAGTTTTATCCCGGAAATCTAACTGACGTCCAGTAAGCTGGGGGGCTGGGGAGCACTAGGCTGTAAATCCCGCTGGCTCCAGCAGATTCCCTGCATATAAGATGCATTTTCTGCCTGGCAGGTCGCGCACAGTGTATTAGGTCAGCCTTGATCTTCATGCAGATGTGAGTCAACTCATCCTTTCACCTCGGACTGCATTGCGTAGAAGGAGCGCATCTTGAACCATAAAGCATCTAATAATCTAACTGACTCAGTGCTCGAAAGACCCAGTTTTACCTCATCGGTTGAGTTTTGCATGCTTGGATTATCAAAACCTACGAAAGGCATCATTAACTGACTTCTACTGCCAGATTAAAGCAAGCAGAAATATTTCACCTGATATTCCTCCCAGTCCATAGAGAATCCCAGAGATGCTGCATGCATTAACTCAGATTTGCTTTGAATATTGACTATAAACATGTTAAGTAGATCAAGCCTGACTTGGATGAAAATCAAACATTAATTGTTAAACTTTGATGGAAAACATTATAGGCAGATTAAAGAGTTAAAACAGTTTAAACAACTAAGTAGAACAAGTCCAGAGAGGTAGGAAATAGAGAAATGGAAAATAATTAAAAAGTGTTAAATATCAAACTGTTTGTATCTGAAACATCACAAAACATCTATTTATAGATCTCTGCAATAGAAATTAATATATATTAAAGTACAACAGAAAAATGAGTATAGTGGAAATTAGTTTGTACAGATAAAATAAATAATTTGCCTTATACATCTAATATGTTCTGAAACCTTTCTAAACGTTAAAACAAATTGTGAAATTATGAAAAGAACTATTTTAAATATGGAGGAATTGAACATGGAAAAACAATATGATTTAACTAAAATTAAAGTAAATGTAAAAAAAGATCTATTTTGTAATAAACAGATAATATGTTAAAACAAATAAAACAGAATCAATATAGTTTCTCTAATTTTCATGCTAAGAGTTTGAGTCTTCCTTCTGCTCTCAGGGTGTAGAGATGGGGGTGTTCAGTCGGCAGAAGTTTTTCCAGGAGCTTCCTCATGGCTGCCTGCTGCCTACAGCTCAGCAGGGCCTGGAGCAGGTATGGCAGCTGCTGGTTATCTGCCTGATGTGTCGGCTGCTCTGGATGTTGGGTGAGAGCTCAGTTATTCTGCTCACCTGTATTACTTTCTGCTTCATACATATCAGCCTTTTAATATAATGCATTTATAATGTATTATAATTTTTTTTTAAATCTTGACAGGTCTCCCTTCCTTTGTGAAGCACCTGTGCACGGTAGCGGGCGGTTTCTACACCCTCTACCTGTTCTTTGAGCTCCACATGATCTGGGTTGTCCTCCTTAGCCTTCTCTGCTACCTCTTCCTCTTCCTGTGCCGTCATTCCACCATCCGAGGAACCTTTCTGTCCATAACGGTGCTCATCTATCTGCTCCTTGGGTAAAAAAAAAAGTCATCTTCTGACACCTGAAATAGCAATGTTTGATGTGAACTTTTCAAAGTGACAGAAACTACATTAAACTGTTACTATTTTATCTGTTTTAATCAGGGAGCTGCACATGATGGATACCACCAATTGGCACAAAATGAGAGGTAATCTAGAAGCTGATTAGTTTAATAATGAGAGGTAATGTTATAGTTCTAATTGGGAGCCCCTGATGTGTAGGTTCCCAGATGGTTGTTGCAATGAAAGCCATTTCCTTGGCCTTTGACCTGGACAGAGGTGTTGTGGCCAGTGTCCCCTCACCCATTGAGTTTATGGGCTACATTTACTTTGTGGGTACCATCATATTTGGGCCCTGGATCAGCTTCAACAGCTACAAAGAGGCTCTAGAAGGACGTAAGTTGGTAAGTTTGTTTGCAGTTAACCATAAGACGTGACGTCATAAAACCCGTGTTCAGCTTCGTTGACTTCAATATTTCCTGAGACTGTGTTAGAGAATTTGTTAGTCTGGTTCACCCCTGTGGTAGAAACACTTCTTCTCACATTTTGAACAGTAAAAGGACATGAAAAGAATAAAGGAGTGGAAAAAAATTGGGATTCAATTTTGTTTGTTTTTATAGTTCCAATTCACATCACTTATTTTCTCAGGGCACTTAGAAAAATGAATGAAATACCTCTAAAAGTATAGTCTTTTATTAACCACAACCTCCTACTGTATTTTGTTGGACTTAAGCATGTTAGGTGGAATTAAATTATACAAAGCTTTCAATTTTTTTCACAAATAAGATTTTTTTTTTGCATTATGTAATTGAATTCATGCTGTTTTTGCATTTGTACCCATAGATAAGTGAAACAAGAGGATTATGTAGACCTGGGGTATCAAACTCAAATGCAGAGGGCCTTAATTCAACACTTGGACATAGATGCAGGATCGCCTGTGTATTTAAAAAAAAATCTTTGGCTACATTTGCAAAACAAGATAATATAATAATTAATATTATATGATATTATAATAATCTTTTAACCATTCAAAAAGCCTGTTTCCCACTTTTGTTTAGGCTGTCTTTTGCAGGGGTCACCCGATGTGACAGGTAGTAGCAGGAGGTCACTAATAGTTGTTAGCTCAGATTGACCAGCCAACAGGATTTGACATTTCAGCCTTGATTTCTGTTAGCTAACTATAATAGATAAAGCAGTGGAAAAGATTGAACTAAAGTTTCCCAGTCCATCATCTGAAAATGAAATGAGAAGTTTAACTCTGTAGGTAGTAATCAGGTTGTGGCTGAGAGGTCTGATAGCTCTGGTGGAGCTGCATAGATACACAGCTCAGGTGGGAAAATCTTCTATTATTTTATGAGTTATTAGTCTATGAGGTTATTACATCCAGTCCTGTAAAGAGACATTATATGTGTGGAATTTTTGTTTAGGCCTTTTTGTTAATGTTCTGCAGATTGTCCACATTTGTAAAGAGTGGTGCCATGTAGCTTGACAGAAGTGTGAGCTCTATGAATTACTGATATTTAGGGGGAACAAATGCATAATGTAACTTTTTAAATTTCAGTGGTCAAACATATCATCTACAATTTTCCTTTAATCTGAAGAAATCTACAATTTTCCTTTAATCTGAAGAATAAGCACCCTTTGTGTTTGTCTAACAGATAAAATCCCAATAGATAAGATAAATCTGTTATTTTGGTATAACAAAATGTTAGCAAATGTTAGAGTTGTATAAATGCTTTTACAAACAACCCTAGACCTGAACTTTGTGCTATCCTTTTTCCTCCTCAGAGCCTAGCCTGGCTTCTAAAAGCGTCCATTAGCTGGCTGAAGAGCCAGATCTGCCTGGTTGTCTCCAACTGTGTGGCTCCCTACCTCTTCCCTTACTTCATCCCTGTCTACGGAGACAAGCTTCTTCGAAGGTGAGTGAAACACAGAGGTATGTTTACACAAGTTCCAATCTGGCTTTTCTGTCAGTTAATGCTTTTTTTTTTTTACTTGATCTGTTCAAAGCAAAAAAAGGAGGAAGATCCGGTAAGCTCTCAGAGCTCTCTTGACCATTTTCATCATCCTAGATGTGTTTCCACTGAATCCTTACATTTTAGTTGCGTGGTTCTGTTGTTTACTTTGTGTAAAAAGCTTTACCTGCATGCATGTTCCCACCCCTTTCCACTGTGTGCAGCTACATGTGTACCAGGACACATTTTCCACCCTCTTACTTGCCATTTCATCACTTTGAATAATTTGGTGAGGCATAAATTATCACAAGAAATGACAAAAAAAGCATTCCTGCAAATGTGATATATTTTAATGTTTTTCTCCTTTTTCTCATGCTTTCCCAGAGGCTCACTTGCAAAGTATGTCACTTATTCCACTTTTTTAATCAGTAAAGTAATATTTTCACTGTAATGGAATGATAACATCCACTTATCTGTTTCTGGTGGTGTTTAGGTGGCTGCTGGCATATGAGAACACAATGTCTTTCCACTTCAGCAATTACTTTGTAGGCTACCTGGGTGAGACTACAGCTACTCTTGCAGGGGCGGGCTTTACAGAGGAGAAGGAGAACCTGAAATGGTGGGAAATGCACGTCTCCTTTAAATAAAATCCATCCACATATTTTGTTACATTTCTAATAAAACACCCCGCCGGTTTCCATTGTTGCTTTGCAGGGATCTGAGCGTGTCCAAGCCGCTGAACATTGAATTTCCCCGGTCCATGTTGGAGGTGGTGACGTCGTGGAATGTGCCCATGTCTCACTTCCTGCATACATGTGAGTGGCACTGTTAGCAGTGATCGCTGATTCATTCTTACTGATTTTATAGGGTTCCTATGCAGCTATGAAAAGTATAAACATTCAGTTTAGTATTTTCAATGTTATGATAATTATGAAGATGACAGTCCTTCCTTCCTTGTTTCCTCCCATCCTTCCATTCTTTCTGTCCATTCCATATTTGTTATATTTTCTTTTATCCTTCCTGATTCCTTCCTGTTCCTCCTTCGATGCTTTTTTTCTTTTTCATCTGTGCCCTTCTTTCATACATTTTGCCCATCCTTCCTTTCCTAGTTTCTTTTATTTCTTCTTCATTTCATCCCTATTTTATCTCCCTTTTTTATTTTTTTTCTTAACCTCTTAGTGTACTTGACACCTGTCTTCTGTCCTTTCATCTGTCCCTCTTTGTTTTCTTACTGTTCCTTTCTTATACTTAATATTTAGAGTTCTTCCTACTGTAGTTAGGATCTCCACAAGGTTATTGTGAATGTCTATTGTTAATATATCAAAATGAACCTTATGTAATAAAAACTCAGATTTGAATTTTAAACATTGGGAATCTTTAAGCAAACCTTAATGTTCTCATCTCACAGATGTATTCAAGAGTGCACTCAAATTCGGGACATTCACTGCCATCATGGTGACATGCATAGCCAGCGCCCTCCTGCATGTGAGCACTGTGTGGCAGTCTTATATATGTTTGTATTGTCCACTCCGCTTGTATCAACAGACTAATTAAAACTTTCATATGTTTCAGGGTCTAAGTTTCCATCTGGGTGCAGTGCTGATATCTCTGGGGTTCATTACATACGTCGAGCACGGTAAGAGTCTCGCTAATGATTTGCCTTTTTACACGATTAAAAGCTGCAGAGGAATTGGTTAGCTCCGCAATTATGGTTAACGGCCCGTGAAACTGTGTTTTCAGTGCTGCGTTTGTTTCATGTTAATGCATTAACCCTGTTTTGTGTTTCAGTTTTGCGGAAGAGGCTCGCTGCCGTATTTAATGCCTGCCTGCTTTCTAGGAAATGCCAGCCAAACTGCAATCATCAAAACAAAAAGGTAATGTGGTGCTATACTGGAGATTTTTAGTACAAAGCCTGGAAGCAGTCAGGTTGGCCTTTCTTAAAGTCTTAAATGTTGTCATATTTCTAAACTCTACCAAGAATTTAACCAGAACTTTATCCTATCGTCAGATAATGCTACCATTTAGCATTTCAGAAAAACACTTCAGGAGAGTCTGGTGTGAAAACTTACAGCCCCTTATTTAGACTCCTTGACAATCAAAGGCTTTTATTCGTGACACATTATATAACTTTTATTGATATGTAGGATTTTCTTTTTCTCTTTTAGATCTGCAAATAATATGTATGTTTTAGAATTTATTCCCCAGGAAAATTGCAAACAGATGCAACGTGGAATTCAGAGTAATTTAGCAGTTTTTACATTTGTTTAGAAGGAAGCTTTGGCTCCTCAACATTTATGATAGGTTTTAGTTTTTCTTTTACAGCCAAAATTCAGAAATGCATTTAGTTGCTTTTGTTGTTCTTGTTCATCTTAGATGTGATTCCATCAAAGGTTTTGGTTTATTTATCCTGTCTTAGTAAATCATCGCAAGAAATATATTTGTCTGAATGTGAATGTGTGTTTTGAAAGGAAGTGTTTGCTGGATTTGATTTATTTAAAAAAAAAAAAATATTTACCAGGTTTTGGTGACTTTAGTTTTCTTTTGATAGAACTAGTTTTATAGATTCCGATAATAAAACTGTTTTCGGAAAATTTAGATTTATCTTCTATTATATATTCATTTATCCTATTTACTCACTATAAAATTTTTCCCTCAGTCTGTTTCACCTTCAAGGCCACACCATTCTCTGCAGGAGAAAAAATCAGATTCTTTCTCAAGGTTTATTCATAACATGTTACCAAAGTGTCTGTAATTTGTTTTGACTCTGACTACTTTTACATTGTTGTAAGTAAGGTAAACAAATGCTGCTCAGGCAGAACAGGGCAGAATGCTATGCCACAAGGGCTGTATGATGAACTGTTCTCTCTTTGCAAAGATATGAATAAATGTGCCGAAATCCATCAATCTGCTTTTGTTTGGACAGATAAATATTAATGGAATTTACTTTCACATTTAATAACATTGTATTAATTGTTAAGCAACACCAACACTGGCATCACTTTATAGTGAATATACATAAGTCTCAGTAAATCTTCCTGGTTCTGTTTCATGATTAAACCATCACTTATTGGAGCTTTGCCCAATGAAAAACTGAAAAACGTAATTTTTTAGATGAAAGCCGGATGATATTTTATTATTTTTGTGAAGATGACACGATTTAGCATTTTCCTATCTATCTTATGCACTTATTTTTTTAAGATGCTTAGCCTATGTGGACTAAGCCCTTTATTGTTGGTCACATATTTTAGAGCCAAATATCCAATTAAGACTGCATATGAGAGTTACCTACCTTGATGCTTTCTCTGTTTGCAGAAGCTGTGGGTGTTTCTGATTAATTTAGCGTTTTCTGGCCTGGCACTTCTGCACTTGATATATTTGGGCTCTGTGTTCAACTCCAGCGTGGACTACATGGAGGAGGATGAGGTGAGATTTATTGCTTCACTGGAGAAATGCACATTTTGCTGCAATAAAAGAGCAATTGAAAAAGATAAGTCAAATCGATGATATTGAGCAGAGGTCACCAACCCTCTTTAAGGCTGATGGCTCCTTCATTGGTACTGAATCATATGAAGGATTACTAATGCTGACCTATGAACGGGACGGATCAGTGTTCACCTAAACTTCATACAGGAAGGAAGGAAGGAAGGAAGGAAGGAAGGAAGGAAGGAAGGAAGGAAGGAAGGAAGGAAGGAAGGAAGGAAGGAAGGAAGGAAGGAAGGAAGGAAGGAAGGAAGGAAGGAAGGATCAGTGTTCACCTTAACTTCATACATGATAAACATAAGGAAGGAAGGAAGGAAGGAAGGAAGGAAGGAAGGAAGGAAGGAAGGAAGGAAGGAAGGAAGGAAGGAAGGAAGGAAGGAAGGAAGGAAGGAAGGAAGGAAGGAAGGAAGGAAGGAAGGAAGGATCAGTGTTCACCTTAACTTCATACATGATAAACATAAGGAAGGAAGGAAGGAAGGAAGGAAGGAAGGAAGGAAGGAAGGAAGGAAGGAAGGAAGGAAGGAAGGAAGGAAGGAAGGAAGGAAGGAAGGAAGGAAGGAAGGAAGGAAGGAAGGAAGGAAGGAAGGATCAGTGTTCACATTGACTTCATACATAATAACCTATTTTTATTGTTTCTTTTAACTCCTAATTTTCTTTATGATACGGTATTTTCAGTTTGAAATCTCTATAAATTCCTTAAATACTCCATGATTAAAATTATGAAAACGTTCTATAAATTATTAAAAAAGAAGGGCAACAGAATGACATAAAAAATTCAATCTTAGGAAACTGGTGTGTTGTTTTCAGAAGATGCTGTTGGCATCCCATGAGGCCCCTGAGGGCCCATTGGTGCCCGCAGGCACCACATTGGTGACCCCGATATAGTGTTATAAGACAAAGGAACCCATTTGTATATCTCCTTTCCTGTGCCGAGTTATAACCCAAAACAACAATATCAAATTTCTGTTGTATTTTCCTCCACAGCAGTCAGGCTCAGTGGTTGTTGTTTTTTTCTCCACCTGATAAAAATAAGTCGGAAGCTCTGGGCCTTTGTTCCCCTCTTCATGGATAACAGCATTTAAAACTTTGAACAACCTGTTTCATTTATTTTTTTACAACGTTATAAAGCTGCTGAAGACCACTTTGGCATAGACGTGAATAGAAGTTAGCTTAAGCAACAAAATATTACCTAATAACCCAGAAAAAATGCTTCTAAAGCAATTTTTATGGAAATAACTTTTGCTCTGAATCCACCTCAAGATGTTTGAATTTCTATACATAGATGAGATTTTACATGTCAAGCTAAAACACAGCAGTTTAAGTTAGCTTAATGTCATAAGTAGGCAACAGATGAGATTTATCATTGCAGCTGCCTTTGTTAGTACTTAAGTCAATTTTTACTAGACAATATAACCTTAAAATAAATATTGGAAACTTATTAAACTTGGTGCTTTCTTTATTAGTTTATTAAATTCAGTTCAGCCTAATTTTTAACACAAAATGTACCCAAAGTGCATTCAAGTAGAACTCAACAATATGACCTATCACCATAAAATTCTTACCCTGAATGTGGAGTCCACTTGACTCCTAACTGAAATAGAGCCTATTTAATATAACTAACAGATCAGATGAGTAATTCAGAGAATTAACCGTCATTTATTTGGAATTGGTGCCCCAGATTATATTTTCCTTTTAAAAAAAACTTAAAAGTTCACTGATGGGGATGCGGTGGTGGTGTAGGGCCACATGTCTTCTCCCTCTCTCTAATCCTGTGTCCTGTCTGCCTACTTTCAAAAAATACAGAAAAAACAGCATAAAATAATAATAATAATAATAAAAGAAAAGGTTCACTTATAACTGTAGACAGGTATTCAATTAAAGATGAATTTATTACAATATTTGTACACATCTTTACACGGGTGCTGTATTTATTCTTCTACTTCCTTTGGAGCAGATTCACTCTGATGTTGGAGCTCAGATCTTTTCTAGATCCTAAATGTCTATATTAATGTAGCATTCTAAGACCTGGCAATGCAACATTTGCTGAGTATTTATAGTGGAATTTTATTTAGCTCATGATTCACCCTCTGGACTTTCCTTTCCATGCTTTCCTGTCTGCAGGATGAAATCACCAACCACACCATTCAGAAGTGGTCTGAGCTGAGCTGGACGAGCCACTGGGCCACATTCAGCTGCTGGATATTATACCGCCTCATTCTCTAACAATGGGAAGCAATGAAGGGTGAAAGAAGCAATAATGAGAAGCAGATTTCCCATTAATCTACTGTGAATTTATCCTGGTTATGACTGAGGGAAGCAAAATCAATCTCAACTTGCAGTTTTCAGGTTGTACTACATGTGAGTCGGGTAGTGCTCTTCTAACGTTTTGATATCTAAAGGAAGCCCACAGCGCCTTTTTTTTTTTTTCATTTTTCCTTTTTATCTGACCCCCAATCACCATGGTGTCATGTTGTCACTGTGACCTACAATCAATAACCATCAGCGCGGGTGAGATTGACTTGCAGACACGTGATGGTTCACGTCACGCAGATGTCCTCCAAAGCCAATCACATCGGCTGTATGTATGTATCCTGGCAACGGATTTCAGATTGGTCATTTTACAAGTTCTTGAGTGTTTTTGTGGGATTTAACTGTTATAGAACAACAGAAAGTAGTACAGGACATGGTTGTTATTTGTTTACAAATTCAAATTTGAAAATTTGTGGCATAATTTTGACTTTTGCTTTTGGCTGCAATTTCAGCTGCAAATGTTTTCAGTTTTTCTTTCTTTCATGTTTTTAAGGTAAAATATACTTTAAAAAACATTATTATCCTTCCACTTCACAATCAAAAATCTCTGTATAAAAAGTTTTACAAGGAGCTGCACTGGTATGTTTTTTAACATACTTAGGGACAAATCTGGTTGCATCCCCCAGTCTTCCTATCCTAAATAAATCTGATTAAATGTCCCGAATCTATGACACAGCTGCTTGTGTCTCTGGTTCAATTGCGATGCCTAATCAGAACCTAATGATTATAGTTTATTTATTATAAACCCTTTTTTGCAGGTTGGGCATGGCTAAAGGAAACAGCCACAGTCCGACTGCTTATGTTTGTGACCAGAATATTGTGTAAAACTGCTTTAGATCCAAAACTCGGTCATTTCTCTTTGGATCCAACAGACTTTTATAAATGCAACAAGCACATGTTATTAGACAGCTTTTTACCACCAGCTGTAACTAATTCCCCTTTTGTGACTATTAAATATATTTAAGGTTTTAGATTATTACATTTGAAACAGATTTTTTTTTGTACTCTCAAAGTTTCCCGATAGTGTTTGTAAAGTTTTATTGTATCCTTAAATATGTAATTTTGATTTCTTCTCTTCCATTTATAATAAAGCCGTAGAATCAGGATATTTTAGGTGTAATATTGTTTAAATAATTATCATTTAGTTTCATATAACCTAAAATTAAACTCTTCTTTATTCTACACCAGACATTTCTCTTGAGATATATACAGCAGCTGAGCTTGTGGTGAAGGTGCCATGCACCCCGACCAGGAGTATGAGGGGTGGATGACAGAGCAGTTTTTTTATAATATATATCTAAAGCTGCTGTTAACGACTGAACACTGTTGCTGTTTATGAGCTGCTAAAGAATCTCGACTGTGTCCATCAGAAAGGGAAGATGCGGTGTTAAATAGATTTTGAGTGTTTGTTGATTTACCCAGTTTCTGCTGTGATACTTCTTAGTACAAAAAATAGCTCTAAATACCTTATATTTGTGTTTTGTCCTTGTAAATGTAAAAGGCCATGACATACCTGTGATATTTTTATAAAATTTTACATGAAACCATACATGCAGTCCGTGTTTGAATGTAGTATATGTGGTTGACTTTAAATCTCATTGAACAGTTAATTGTCATGACTTGTCTGATCACTCATTTCAATCACCTGCTTATCTCCGTCCAGTTCTTATTAGCGCTGATCTGATCCACCTTCTTCAGTCTCTATTTAACCAACCTTCAACTAGTCATCAGTGCCAGATTATTTGAGCCTGTAGTGAGAGTTTTCGAGCGTAACTGTGTTTTCTGATTTCCTGACCTGTTCTGCCTCTGGACCTCTGAGCCTGCGTTTCCCCATTCTGACCCGTTTGCTTGACCTTTCTTCGGTTTCCTGCTGTATTTCTGCCTTTCTGTGAACTGAACCTGGAACTGTTTCCCGACTCCGTTCTGGATCTGATCTCCTGGCTCTGAATACCAAGCACGTCTTCGACACCAGCTTCGGCTTCGTCATCTGGATTATCCTGCCTTCATTTGTCTGCTCATTTCTAATCTTTCTGTCCTCCGACCTCTGAGACATCAGCCTATAGGACTCTCTGGGCGGCACCCGCCACGTCTTGTTGGCAGCCGACCAGCCAGAGCCTACCGTGTCCTCACTAAGACTAAGAAAGTAGAGCACATCCCCCCATTCCTAAAGTCCTTACACTGGCTCCCTGTATCTCAGAGAATAGACTTTAAAATACTTCTGTTAGTCTATAAATCTCTGAATGGCTTAGCACCTAAATACATCACAGACTTGCTATCAGTGCATCAACCCTCCAGACCTCTCAGGTTTTCTGGCTCCAGCCTGCTCTGCATACCTAGAACCAGAACTAAATATGGAGAAGCAGCATTTAGTTCCTATGCTCCACTTATCTGGAACAAACTTCCAGAAAACGGTAAAAGTGCGGAAAGTCTGGGTTCCTTTAAATCAAGACTAAAAACACATTTGTTTAGGATTGCCTTCAACTGTTCTAGTTAAACAGTTCAACTGAAACATCATTAGTTCAACTTTTTTATTTTCTTTAGTCCAACTGTTTTTGATATTCTTTCTTGTTTCTGCATTTTTTTATTTTATTTTTTATTTATTTACTTGCTTAGATTTTTTTTTATTTTCCTATATTTTAATCTTGTAAAGCACTTTGCATTGCCTTTTTACTTAATTGTGCTATACAAATAAATTTGCCTTGCCTTGCCTTGCCTTACCTCAACCTCTGGTCTCGGACTCTACTATAAGACCAGAGGTTCCTTCCTTAGACACTGACACCGTTCACAACAATTCCATTTCTAATAAAGAAATTTAACTGTCTGTTATTCTGAGATGGTAAAAGACATGATCAGACACACAGAGGATGATGTAATAAACAGTTTTCAGTTTTAATTACAAAAAGAACATTTGGACTGTTGAATGGTCCATGTTGGTATAAAGAAGGAATGGGTTGGTCTGATCTAAATGAATGTCTTTTTTTTCAGATTCTAGTGAGGAAGGGTAAGGGGTTTGGGATGAACAGGAACCAAGCGGTGAAACGGATGATGATGGATGGAAATTTGCCTTGTGCCTCTCTGTGGAGGCGAGCAGGTGTGGTAGTGCAGGGGACGGACGCTCAGCCCTGTCTTCCCTGGGGACCCCCGTGTTTATGGTGACAGGACCCCAGCAGTGTCTCCAAAGCCATCTTCACAAACGCCTGGAAGTTATTGCTTCTCTTCTCCTTTCGGCTGTCCTGCAAGGGGATAAAACAGAGACAGATACCTTCACTGGGAACACAGCAGTCACAGCAAAGTATTTCCAAGCTGTTGCAGATGTAGGTGAATAAATCTTTATATCATTTAATCTTTATGATTTTGTTAAATGCTTACCTCCTTGCTTCTTGTTGTCATCTCCTTTCTGATCACCTTTTTTTGGCTGATCTTTAGGACTCTGAGGTTGCTATGGAAATAAAGCTCAATTAAATATTGTCAAAAAACACGACTATTGAAATTTAGAAATATGAAGTTACCTTGGTAGCTGACTTCTTGTCCGATTTATTTCCTGGATTTGGTTCGATTATTGGATGTGATTCAAAAAGATACAACAGAGGAAATCTTAGTACATCTGATCATTTAATTTGACCCATATAAAAATTATTTTTCAGTTCAAATGATTTTGGTGAATGTTGCTCACCTTTGGCTCCTGGCATGTTGGCTGTACTCCAGAGTCTTACTCTTTCAGGGGTTTTTGGAGGGGAACACGGTGCTTAATGCGCTGGCCAACTCGGTCATTTATGGCCTGTGCTTATGAATTGTTCAGCCATTGGGGCCCCTTCGAGAAACAGCAAACAAGCAAAGAGCTCGGTCAGCTGAGCACTGAGCCCTCCAGCTCTGCAGGTCTTTGCTGAGCCAGGCGAAACCTCAGAGCTGACTTTGTAATACTGCCATTGTGAACTTACTGGAACTGTGCGTTCACCTATTGTACAAGGGAAGGCAGGATTTCCGTTATGGTACGGCTGAAGTGCTTTTAAATTTATGTTTTTTTTTTTTCTTTTTTCACACTAACTTGAATCTAGTAGATGATTTTATTTCAACAAACTTAAATGTTTTGCTCTTAATAAGACTGTATGGCTCTTATGTTGTCATTACATTAGGACAATGGGTCTTGTAGGTTGTGGTTTTGTTTTGGTTCTCTGTAATTTTGCATGTTATGTTATGTTTGCCATATTAGTTTAGTTTGGGGACATTTTGCCAGCTGTTTTCTTGTTCATTTGTTTAGGATAAGGCTTTTTTGTTGTTGTTAATTTATCTTTACAGTTTTTGGTAATAATTTATTTATTTTTGGTTCTACTAGGTTCTGTTGCATGTTTTTTCCTGATTTGATTGACTGACTTTATTGACCTCACAGTGGAAAAATTTACCAATTGTCTCTGCTTGATCATTTCTTGCCCTGCCATTGCCATTTAATAAGTAGATTACATGCACTTTCTCTTCTGCTTGTTGCTTTAGACTTCAGTCAGTTGCCAGTATCAATGGGGGTATCCATGGGGTCAAACTTTTTAATTGGGGGTCCACTTCAGTTTATTCACATAAGGAACCACTGACATCTCTTCTATGTTCCCCTGAGAGTTAAATGATTTGTACCTGAAGGTGAAATGTTGTCCTATTATTCCCTATTATCCCTTGAGATATAGCAGCTTTTTCTTTGACAGTTTTAATAAACTGTTTACAGAAATCAATAAAGTTTAATATTTAAACATATCTTTACAAGCATCCATATGGGGGTAGGGGTATTGTTTGTTACTTTATTCACAATTTATCCTTTCCCTAAAATGTATCCTATCCTCAAATTGTCATTCAATTATAAGTGTTCTCATTGGGGCTCTAGGCCAGCATGGGGTGACAGAGTTTGCTCTTGATGGTTTCTGCCAATTGTCTACATAACACATGTCTATAGGTGTAGTTTTGGTATACTTCTTTAGTTTAATTCAGTTTATTTACATTGCATAGTCTTAGGGCCATTCACATTGATATGAGGAAATACACAATCAAATCAGTCCCATCAAGCAGACTGACAGGATACCTGCAGGGAATACACTAGAATGTATTATCAGATGGGACATTTAGTCTTCTTTCTTAACTTCACGTGTCTTTCTTACATTATAATTGAAAAACTATGGATTTATAGCTTTTTTAAAATGTGCTACTTATAATAAGTTTAACTGATAATATTTACACACCTCAAACATAGCTAAATATCATAACTGGGAAGCCAAGACAAACCTGATGTTTCACATTACATTTATTTCATAGTGCAAAGACATTATAACAATAACATAAGATTAACATATAAACCTGAATATGATCTATCTAACTCCAATATTATGAAGAAAGACCAAAGGAAAAGCAACAACAGATAAGTCTCTCTCCATAGACAATAACATGTCAAGTACTAAACCAAAAAGTACATATCTAAATTTAGATTAAAAACTCAATTTGTCAGCAACCATAAGCGATAACTTGCCAATCCTTGCCAACAATCCTTTGGTTTGAGGAAATTAGTATTGAAAAAAATGTATTTAAAACATTTCATTGACTAATGAATGATACTATCTACTAATATAAAACTATAAATATACTTTTATTGTTTAACAACCTTACAATGCTTATACTGACATTGAATGAGTTGTTATAGCTGAAATAATGCACAAATAAAACATTGTATGAGATCCTACAAAATGCAGCAGAACTTGTCAACAGAGCAGAGTTATACTGTGTAGATAGATAGATAGATAGATAGATAGATAGATAGATAGATAGATAGATAGATAGATAGATAGATAGATAGATGATAGATAGATAGAGAGGTAGATAGACCATGCACTATGCACCCAGAGCTGTGTGTCATCCATGTATCAGTGTAGATTAATGATAAACTTCTAGAAAATATTGCCAAGGGGAAGACAATATATGATGACAAGCAGAGGTCCAAAGACAGAGCCCTGAGGTACACCAGCAGACACAGCAGAGGGACAGGAACAGAATGACTGTGACCACTAATAAAACAAGTCTAAGGGGGTATGAGAGATGCCAATCTCTCAGAAGATAATCTGTTGAGGAGCATAGTATGGGAGATGGTTTTAAAGGCGCCACTCAGATCAAGAAGGATGAGTAAGGGGAGTAAACAAGAGGCAGTTACAGGTATCTGGTAGGTCCCTAAAACAAAAATCCTTAAACAGGATTTTATCACAAGACAAGACCACTTAACATACACAGTGAAAAAAAATGTGCATTCTTTAATTCAGAAACAGATAGAACATGTTATTATGTAAATGTTAAGCAGTAATATTACAGGTAACAAAGGTATTTAAAAAAAAAAAGCTTAAACCAGCCATTATAGCCCCATTAGATAAAGTGTGCAATGGGTAATGTCATGGTTTATTTGAGACCTCTGACTGTTACTCTTGTTTTAGTTGTAGCAAACAACAAACAATATATTTTTCTCTCTTTTATGGCTTCAAACAAAACAGGAACCCGTTTAGTATTAGATAACATACAATGTGTGCTTCTAATTTAATGAGAATGAGGCCATAAAATTGCTAGTTATCAGTTTACCCATGTTACCTCTAGTCTAAACGCCTGACTTTTAGGGGATTTGTGTCGTTAAATCAGCTGGGATTTCTGAAAGCAAGCAAAGTTCTTAGTATCTACACAATAAGTGAGAATCAAAAGCCCTGCAACTCCTTTGTTTAACCGCTAGGGGGTGACAACATCAAATAAAAAAATAAATAAAAATAAGGTAATGTAATATGATTTAAGCCTAAATGGCCTTCCAAAATATTTCATACCTGTGTTTTATTTCAAAATCTTGTTTATTATTTTTCTTCAACTCACAGACCGAAACTGACATGCAAAACAAAAAATTTTACTGATGGCACTTTTTATAGCATTTTTAAAGATATTAGTAGGATATTTTTTTCAGCAAGAAAAACTGTTTGGGTGAGTAAAGGAGGTGCACATGTAGCAAAAAATATATTTTTAAAAACACTAGAGCCTTACAATTAAAGTAATTAAAGTAAATTTAATTACAATTTTGTTCAAGTCTTATCCTCAAACAATTTTCCAACTGAATCACTGTGAAAAATGTCCCGGTATTTAAATAAACTTTTAAAAAGTCATCAAAGACGCTATCTAGGTAGTATCAGTTATGATGATCAGGGAGCTCATGCTGTTTTAAGTCTGTTGTGTAATTCCATTGTCATGATCCAAAGTCCAACTGTTGCAACAACGTGCTTTAACAGCAGAAAGCACCGGAGAGGACTTTTCAGGATAAGGAATTGAAATGAAGGAATAAGTAAGTAAACCGGTCTTTAGGACACAAAGTCAAATACTGAAAATGTATAAGCTAATGATGGTCTTGGTTAATAGGGAAAGTGAAATTAAATGTATTCCAATTCTAATATCTAATTCTTAGTCTACTTGGACAGTAGGTTTGCTATGTGTTTCTTTTTAAACGGCACCAATTCATGCGGATAAGTCATGTTAACTGATATTACCATTTATGACCACAAATAAATCCCACTTATATAACATATTAACTCAAGCAGGGAAGTGATTCACACAGATCACTCAGACTTTTATGCCCAAAATGTCACGAGCAGCTGACATTTCAGGTCAAGAAATCATAGCATGTAGTGTAATGTAGTTTCAGGATAAATATATGATTAAAACTGAATGAATTCAGTATAACAAAATGAAAACATAACACTTTTAATTCTGTGTTACTTCATTACAGGGACTATCTGAGAACAACCGCTCACTAGCACAGGAGAGGATCCACTGTGACCAGGATGGTGAAAAGAGTTCTGGTAGCCTATGCCCTGTGGGCCATGGGTGGGCCTTTGGGTCTTCACCATCTCTACCTGGGGAGAGATAGCCATGCACTGCTATGGATGCTAACCCTGGGAGGTTTTGGTTTTGGCTGGGCCAGAGAGTTCATACGTATTCCTGAGTATGTCAGTGAAGCTAACCGAGACGTTGAAACTGACAGAAGAGCTCATAAAGGACGACTCCCACCTGTCAGCCCCTTCAGATTCGCTGGGCAAGTATGCGTTGGGATCTACTTTGGCATGGTGGCTCTGATTGGACTTAACTCCCTCAGTTTCTTCTACCTGATCGTTCTGCCCTTGAGTGTGGGTGCAGGGGTTCACCTGGTGTCCAATATTGGACAACAGACTGCAGATCTCCAAAAAACCCTCACTGCCTGTCTTGTAACATCTCCTATATTCTATGGCAGTTCTCTGTCACCTCTTCCTATAAGCTTAGCTGCTAGCATTACTGCCTCACAAAATCGCAGGTTCAAACCACCAAATGCACATGGCAGCCAGCAGAAATTAGGTGAGCTTAATTAAACTCCCAAAATTCCTCAGTAAACTTATAAAACCCTACTGAAACCACATTTTTCCACCTTTCCTTCAGGTCCACGACTTTACAGGATTGGTCTAGCTTGGCTGGCCTTCTCTGCTCCATTGGGTTACTGTTTTTTTTATAACACCACAACAACACTATATTATCTGTCTGACACAATAGCTGCACTGTTGGATATATTCTGGTTCTTGCCTTGGCTTAGAAGTGTATTGGAGTATTTTCTTTTAATGCCATATCGCATCCTGTGTGCACTGACCGGAGGGGGGTACCATGAAGAGGCATGGAGGAAGGTGCTAGAAATACTCCTAAAAGAGTACACACAGAGAGAAAAAGAGGCATTGAAGGTGAGAAAGCAAAAAGTGAGAGGTAGATATACCCATACACTGTTTCTGGTTGACTTTCTCTTGATGTTTCAATGTTTGTGCTCAAGGTACTGTCATTGGAGGCAGAAGCATCCCTTGAGGAGATAACGCGAAGCTACCGGGAGCTGGCTAAAACATGGCATCCAGACCACAACCCAAGCAATGATGCTGAGAAAATGTTCATGCAGGTTCAGGAAGCTTATGAGGTCTTGATGCGATGGCACAAACCCAATCGATTCAAATAGCAGAGCGATATTCCAAACAGGTGTTCCATTATATAGCACCAGTGATAAAGGAACTGTTTATATGAACTTGATAATCCCATTGTAGGAGCCTGAATTTACACTTTGTGATTTTCTTGGTATGCATTATGGTTAATGTTTTGTGTTTTTCTTGATGAATTAACCTTTCTTGAAATTATTAAATATTATTGGTAATTCATACTAATTTGGGAAATTTGTATATTTAGCTATTGTGGTTATTTTGTTAATATTTTCATTACTTCTTTGGTTTAAGGATGCATACGTGTCACTTTTTAAGGATGCAGAGAGAGCAGAACATTAGAGATTAAACTAACAGATTCTGCAGAGTGTGAGAATAGAGATAGAATGAAGCAGAATGATGAAATAGGGGTCCCTATGTCCTCCAGCAGTCTAAGCCTATAGCAGCATAACTATAGAGATAGCTCAGGATAACCATAGCCACTCTATACTATAGGCTTTATCAAAAAGGAAAGTTTTAAGCCTAGCCTTAAAAGTAAACATGGTGTCTGCCTCACAGACTAAAACTGGTAGTTGATTCCACAGGAGAAAAGCCTGATAACTAAAAGATCTGTCTCCCATTCTACTTTTAGAAATTCTAGGAACCACAAGGAAACTTGCAGATTGAGAGCAAAGTGCTCTGTTAGGAACATAAGGAACCATCAGATCTCTGATATAAGATGGAGCTTGGCCATTTAAGGCTTTATATGTGAGAAGGAGGATTTTAAATTCTATTCTTCATTTAACAGGAAGCCATGTGTGGCGCTTCTGCTTATGAATTTAATTGTACACCTGTTTGAATATCCCCAAAACGGACATTTGCTGCCACCTTGTGGCGTAGATGTAACATTACAAAAAAACAATGTCATCACCGAATATTACCTGCTGTCATCATCGGGTGTTTCAGCAAGTGCTTTATATGTTTATGTATGAATATTTATATGTTATCTAACAGTTACGATAAATGTAATTGGATGAGATGTTGGGGTTTTTATGCAGGATAAAACGTTTGGAGGGTTTGCTGGACGGTATGCCTTAAAACAATACTGTCACTTGGAATTTTCTAATTTTCAAGAGTCTACATTTTCATAAAGCAAGAAAATGCAACAATATTGTCTGCCTCCTCTTCTTATCGATGCATTCGACAATCACTACATCAACAGCTCTGTCTGTATCCCAGCATGGGCCCGGAAGTTGTTTGGGTTTCAGGTGAAAAAAAAAGAAGAAAGAAAGAAAAAAGGAACGACAGAAAGGAGGAGAGGAAGATCCCAGGGATGCTGCCGCCGCTGGGGGAAACAAACAGCCAGGCGGACAATTAAAGAGCAGAGCACCGATCGGCCGCCAGGTAAGCAGCAGCCGCCCATCAGCTCCCTCTAGATCGGCGTGTTTTTGAAGAGTTGCTGCGGGTGAATGCCATTTGTCGTGTGGTCGGCTGCCATAGCAACGGCTCGCGAGAAACATATAGCCCAAGTCGGTTTGACGCGCTCGGTGTTGGATGACAGCTGCGTTCATGCGGACAATTCTCTCAGTCGCAACTCCTGCACGCGCCGCCACCGCTGCCTGGAAGCCGCGCGCGAGGCTGATCGGACTTAAAAACCCGCCGGGAGACGCTGGAACAAATAGCCGCGGATGCAGCGGGGGAGAGAGAGAGGCATGGCACCTATCTGGAAACATATATGATTCAATGCACAATCGACAGTCTGGGGACCAGAGAGGATTGCAAAGCAAAGGGTTTGGAACAGATGCGCGCTCTCCTGTCTTTATATATTTCTTTTCTTTTAATTTTTAATCGCGGTGTGGCTCCCGGCTCCATCAGCGCCTGTTGCATCCAGGATATTCATTCTCCCTGAGATGTGCTGCTGTCTCCGCCTCCCCCCCTCTCTCTCCAAAGTCAATGTCCACTGTTGTCATCCATTTAAGCAAGAGCTGTTGATGCCTTTTACATCTTGGTCTGTTTCCGTTTCATAAAGTGAAAGCTCCGTCTGCTCCTAGTGAAAATAAAACATGTTGGCGGCTATGTCTCAAGACAACGTAAGTCAGCAAAAAAGTGTCTGGTCTTGGTGTTTCTGTTGCATAGCTGTTTTATGTAACGTGGTAATTATTTGGCAATTAAAAACATAGGGGGAAAGATAAATAAGGATAAATGTGAAACAAGTTGAAAGCTGATTAACAATAAATGCAAATATAAAAGCAGGAGTAATATAATACAATATATTATCATAAAATGATAAAAATAGCAAGGATGTTTAAGCTAATAATAATAAAACGGATAGTAAACTGGTAGTTTCTGTTAATCAGAGAGGTGCAGACAACTTGTAAGTTCTCAATGGACTCTGTAATGCAAGATAAGACTTAACTATTTTGAGGTATTTTTTTGCAATAGAAAAGTTTGTGTCAATTCTTTCCATTTCATTCTATGTAAGGTATAACAAACTGATCATCATCCAATAGTGTTGTTTCAATTCAATTCAGTTTATTTATATAGCACCAATTCACAACACATGTCACCTCAAGTTCAACAGATCATCCAGTCAAATTGATTCAAAGTTTTCTACCTAAGGAAAACCAGTTGATTGCATCGACTCATTGACTGAAAGGCAATCCCTCACACTAGGCATGCTTGTAGCGACAGTGGAGAGGAAAAACTCCCCTTTAACAGGAAGAAATCTCCAGCAGAACCAGGCTCAGTCTGAGCGGCCATCTGCCGAGGCCGACTGGGCTTCAAGGAGAAGCAGAGACACAGCCAGGCTCTGAGCCACTTATGATTAGTATACTTTAATCACAGTAAACCAACTGTTTAGATTAAGTCTAATCTAGCTTTGCTTAAATTGTTTTTAAGTTAGGGCATTGACACCACTTCTCTGATTTTTTTTATTACTTAAGTTAAAATAAATATAACCTTTGATTGGGGAGTGGCGGCCTAGTGGTTGGGGAATAGGGCTTTGAATCCTGACAATGGCAGCCCACTGCTCCCCAAGGGGATGGGTCAAATGCAGAGAAGTAATTTCCCTCTGGGATTATTAGAGTATATAAAATTTTAAAAAAAGATTTCCGTTCTTATCCTGTTCTAGGTGATATAATCTCTCTGTAAACTTTTTTTTACTATGAATATTCTAATTAAAATTACATAAATATCAGTTCTTTGCAGTCTTGAAGGATAGTCTTCATTGGAAGTTTTTGTTTTCTGGATCAGATGCTTAGATCTCTAAAGGCTTGGCATACAGCCTCAATCCTTCACAATTTTCTTGTGAAGAAAATTACATGATTTAGAATTAAGAGGCATTTCAAAGTTTTAGAAGGTAACAAATTATTCTGTCTAATGTTAATGTTTTATTATATTTCTTAAATCGGCCTTATCCATCTTAATAAAAAGTTAAAATATTGAAGAAGTAGAAAACAAGCTTTGAGAAAAAAATACCTTGAGATCTTCTCACTTGGGACTGCTACCAAAAATGTGCTGGTTTCCTTTATGTCAAACTCTGAAAAGGATGTTGTTCGAATAAAAAAAAGACCAATATTTTACATTAACATGTATTTATTTTATTGTTAAATAAAAAACTCTATTGGACCCCCTTTTTTTTTATCTTTGTTTAAGCTCTGCTGCGAGACAAACTACATCTACGGTCAGATCATGGTCAAATCATTCAACCAGAGCTTCTCTGACAGCATGCAGCAGGCAAAAAAAAAAAAAAAACTAATTTGAAAGCAACATATCCTCTAACCCCCCCCCAAAAATAAAAAGATCAGAATCATAATTCACTAACAACAATCCCTCTGTTACCAAAACAAACAGTGAAACATGGCAGAGGTAGTATGATTGTCTGGGACAAGAAAATGTATGATCCAGGACATTGTTCACCTGTTTTTGATAGAATATATGGACTTTAAAAGTTATCACAGAGATATGTCTTGTTAATTTTGATCATTTTAAGATTGATGATCAAAACAATAACCTTTAAAAATGCCTATTTCCCTGCAAACAGATACTGCAGTAAAAGCCAGAGTTATCCATAAACAAATAGGCTGCATACACCAGTTAGATTAAATGGTCCCATCTTACAACTTATCATACACCAGTTAAAGCAAATGATTCGACTAAAGTTTTTATTGTATCAAAATTGAAAAGAAGTTGTTTTACCTTTTGTTTTGTTATTTCTACTTGTTTAAACAGGAACAAATCACACAATTATTAATCGATAAAAGGAAAGTAGTTCAATTGTTTTAAAACAGGGTTCTGTACATTTTTGAAGATTGGAAAATTTTAAAAGTATTAGAGGTTTACCTAGTAAAATAAAATAAAAAAACTTTAAAAAATATATAACTTTAATAACTTGGTCTGTCCATTAAAAGTCACTGGATCCTTGTTGTCCTAGTCACAATAAAACAGAACTACAAACAAAAACATGACTAATAAAAGGTGAAAATGATATTATACACCTAATATGCTCCTTTTTTAAGTTTTTAAGCCTTTTAATGCCATATTGCATTCTATCTGCACTGACTGGCGGGGGGGTACCAGGAAGAGGCATGGAGGAAAGTGCTTTAAAGGAACAATTCCACAGGGTTAGATATGCAGTGTCAAAGTACATTGACTCTTTTAGAGTTACAAGAACTACTTTAAGTTAATTTAACACTGATTTAAAGTGGGACCAAATGCACTCTTAAGGTGTGACTTTAACACCCCTGCCAAACCTAATTGTAGCCATTCTTAAATTATAATCAAGGGCCTCATAAAACTACTCAAAGGGCCACAAATGACCATACACAATATTGCCATAAGACATATTTTCATATATACTAAATTAGTTGCGATGTTTGGTAACACAGGAAAGTAATACTAGAAACAAAGAAAGTTCAAATAGCAGAAGAGGGATTTCCATCCATGCTGTTAGTGTTTCTAGTTTTCCAATGAATATCAGTTTGAATTTGTTGTCCTGATCAATCAGAATGCCTTTCAATGGTAACCCTATAACTGCTGTTTACATTCGATCACTGCTGCACTTTATGAAATGAAATGTTCATTTTACTGCTAAGCCGCGGCTCATTCGGGAAACTGTACAAAATGAAATTTTATATTGTATACACTGAGTATACAAAATTACAATAAATGTTGTCTAATTCTAAGCTTGTAAATACGTAGGAGAACTTTGCTGACAGAGATGAGGGCTTAAATCTCAGAGGCAAAAAATATGTTTCTATCTCTGGAGGGTAGCTTAAATAATCTAAGTGCAGAGATACAAGTTTCGCCAAACAAAGCCTAGTGTAGAGAATGATATAAAGAAAAAAATATATATATCTATATATATATATATAATTGTATGTCCTTTTCCACATAAATGTATGCATTATTTGTTTAGTATACGTGTATATGTATGTGGAAAAAACATATTAAAATGCCATATGTAACTTTATAATGAACCTAATTTATCTCTAGTTTAAGAGCGTTGCTGAATGTTTAAAAGTAAGTATCCGGCCAAATGACTACAGGTAGATCCATCAACATGATGAGACATAGATGGTTTGATTTGTTTTATTTGATTTATTTGGTTTAAACTACCTTCTACCCCGTTTCAAGCATATAGAGAGAGTTATTATGCTGGACATTTTAGTGTACATATTATTATGTTTTTTTAGGTTTCTTTAGCTCTTTTTTTTATCCAAACTGTGTTTAAAATAAACTAATAATGATCATGAAAAAATGTATTTCATTTTTCTACAACAGTAAGTGTAAACAAAAAAAAAACCATCCTTAACGGTCATCAGTCAGAGACCTCATTTTATTTTTAAATTCAGTCATTTAATGACTTCCTAATAATTGATATATATATATATATATCTTTAATGAAGTTTGATAAAGCCCAGGGCCTTATTTTTTTTTACCTTTGAAGTGCGTTTATAGAGAAAATGCATGGCAGGAAATATATTTATTAATTATTAAAGACAAAAACAATTTGGTTTGAAGTTTTTCATCTAAAGAAACTTCCTAAAAGACTGTGACAACTCTTTTAAATATGTGCATAAAATGCTCTTTTTATTTCAGGCTTTATCCACCAACCCCCCTTAATATGTTTCTGTGTTTGTTTCAACTCCTCCTTTGAAACTCTTTGCCAGACATTTTGTATAAATGTCAAGCGTCTCATTTTCATTTGTAAGACGGAGGAAGTTCTCCAGGAAAGAGAGCCAGTCAGATCTGTCTGTTTTCTTTAAAAACTAGAGTACTTTAGTGTTTGGTTTTAGAAAATAAGAACTGAACGCCTGAATTGGTCTGTGGTTGTGGCATCATCCAGCTGGTTAGAATAATTTATGTTAAGAATAGCAAAGGTGTCTATCTTTATCATTTAAGCGTTTTTTCTTAAAGGAAATTATTATGGATGTAAGTAAAAAATGTGTTCTGTTTTTATAGGCATCTGGTGAAAGAATGAATGCTGATGAATGTAATGGAGGCTCATATCCACAAGGTAAGAATAAATATATAGTTAATTATATAGAAAGCGTATGAATGTACTTACTATGTACTAATATCAGCTCTTTGCTTCTTTTAATTTACTAACATTTGATTCTAAAAAGCCAATCTCTAGAAATATTTTAAATAATTTTTTCTTTTTGGACTTTTGCTTCTTTTTTGTGTATTTTGTCTTAAGCTGTCGTTCCTGGCTGAAAAATGTAGACTTAGAAAATGATGGATTGGGATAAATGGGGGGAGGAACAACTGTAAAAGTACAGTTCTATGATAAAATATTCAGTGGATCTTTTATTTTTCACGAAGAAGCTTAATATAACATTTGTGATAAAATTGTGTATAAATAAGAAAGTTCCAAATTATGCATCATCAAAAAAAGTTTAGCATTTCTTTTTTTTTTTTTACGGAATCATCTTGGCATTGCTGGTATACTATACGCTATTTTATGTTTGTACAACTGCCAATCTATGGGGTTCCCTTTCATATCCTAAAGGAATCTTGTCTTTGTAAATGGCTATTCTAACAAAGTTTACAAAGAAAATAAAATGGTTCTTTGCAAAACTTAAAAAAAAAATTGAAACAAACAGAAAAAAAAACAAAAAAACATTCTTTTTACATAGCATCAGCGATAAAATCAACAAAGGTTATATTAAATAAATTCTACAGGGGGGTTAATGAGGATATTTTCAGCTATTTTTATTTTTTTTTTCTGAAGATGGTAAAAATTAAAGGAAAATCTTTCATACGGTCCAACAGCTTGGAAGAGGGATCCTGTCAAATTTTGATCTTGTACATGGAAATGTTAGAATCTAAATTGAAAAATCTGGCTTAAATAATTTAACCGCTACACAATGAAGGAACCTAAAAGTTAATATCTGATCTTTAAAGATGATTTTCTAATGGATAGATAACCAATGTAGAAATATTAAAACAGGATTAATGTTAGGTCTTCTGTTTGTTCTAGCCAGTGGAAGGCTTTACTATTGATGTGTGCAAAAAGTTAGTTAAAATGGTCAAAATGTGAGGAAATGTAAACATGAGGGATTCTCTAAATTTCATGTTTGATTTCAAACTTCTTAATTTGGAATTATTAGATGATTAAAGATATTTCTGATTAATGTTTATCAGTGACCTTCATGAGACATTGATTGATTGCTTGATTGATTGATTGGTTGATTGATTGATTGATTGATTGATTAATTGATTGATTGGTTGAGTTATTCATTCATGCATTCAGTCATTCATTACAATGTTACAATTATTTTAGTTATGCTTATCAGCATAATTCAAATAACCAATATGTAGCCTGATCAGTGGAACCTAACTCCCCACGCTGGTGATCAAACACACGCTGTCTAAATGAGTTTAAAGGAGAGAGCTTAGATTTTAACGGATGTGCAATTGAAATTCTGGGTCTCAAGTATTTCGTTTGAAAAGCCCATGATCCTCAAGGGAGCAGTATTGCTGAATGAAAAGGGGAAAAACAGATACCCCAAATAGAGCCTTTGGATACGTCATGTATTAGATTATTAGTAGAATCTGAAGAGATTTGGTTTAAAGGGACACTTAAGCATTTTTAGAGATTCCCACCTAATAAAACAATTTTTTAAACAAATCAGAGTTGCAAAAAACTAAAAAAGAGCAGGTTTGGGGTAAATCAAGTTTATTTAATAGCACATTTAAATGGCAATGCTGCTGTAGATGAGAAAGAAAAAAAGGGCATATATACGGTATACACACACAAGACAAGGTAAGTTTATTTAAATAGAAAATCTTGGTAGCAAGACACAAGGAAAAAAACATTGAATGTTCATTTAAATAATAGACACATTTCTGTACAATTTCCTATTTAAACTATGTCTTTATTAGACTATGTTTATGTTACAGGTAATGGCGGCGAATCAACAGCAGAGCAGGATTTTTATGGTGGGTTGCGGGCCACTTCTGCAAGATCTCCTAGCAGCCAGCAGTCCTCTCCCCTTCGCTCATTAAGTGGTCAGTCATTATATCAATTCAAATATGTAAATTTTTTTATTTGTAGCTGGTGTCCAAGTAAATCTATTTCCATATACGCTCCATTTTACAAATAAAAGACTCCATTAAGGTGGAGCTGTGTAGCGATGAAGAGTCTTCAGGTGCCCGTCAGTCTGAGAACAAAGAGGCCGTAGGGAGTGACAGTGGGAAAAATGACAGAGCGGGTCCTGCTGAAGAAGGAGGTGCTGCTTTTGCCGGGAGCAGAGGAGAGGGAGGAAACATTTACAATGAGACGGCTACTCCTAATTCGGCCTCGCCTGGACCTATCCGGCTGCCCAACGGGAAGCTGCAGTGTGAGGTGTGTGGGATGGTCTGCATTGGACCTAATGTGCTGATGGTCCACAAGCGCAGCCATACAGGTGAGAACATGACGGCAACCACAGTCTATATGAATATTTAAAACAGATGCTAAAATACATTATATAAATTAATGAAGCCCAAAAATCAACGCAAATGTTTGCAGGCGAGCGTCCATTTCAGTGCAACCAGTGTGGAGCCTCCTTCACCCAGAAGGGTAACCTGCTGCGTCATATCAAACTTCATTCAGGAGAGAAGCCTTTCAAATGTCCTGTTTGCAGCTATGCCTGCCGCAGGAGAGATGCTCTGGCAGGTCATCTGCGCACTCATACAGGTAAATCAATGAGCTCCCTCGATGCAAAGCTAGATGGAGACAGGTGTCTGTTTCCTCTCATCATTATGTAAGCCTGGTCTGTAAATTAAATGATCTCTAAGTGCTATATATACACTTATATAGTTAAACACTTTAGCTGAAATCAGTCTTTAGCTAATTGTTATAAAATATTTTAAAGCAGTAAAAGCGAAAGTAGTAAAACCAAGTGATGTTCATGGAAAAGTGCCTTTCCAAAGAATAAAATCACAAAGAACAGATAAGAATTCATTAAAATAGCATAAAGGAAACTTAAACTTAACATAAATAAAAGATTCAAGCTTCTACAAAAAAAAAAACTCTCCACAGGGAGAGCAGAAGACATTTCATAGGCAAGATTTTCCCCTGCTTTGGAGCTTTAACATCATCTACTAGATATTTACACTATTTGATGAATTAAGACAAAGCAGAAATAAGTGCATTGGAAGAATGAAAGAAAATAAATTTCTGGAAAGATAAATTAAGAGTCTGGCATATTCAGTCCTTTTGAGTTGAAGCTTCAGAGCCATCTTTCTCTAGAATGACAGCAGCAGTTTTTTTAAAACTGTGTCTCTACCAGCTTTTTATGTAAAGACTAGCAGTCTTGTCAGATCAGATAAATAACATCCAGACTGTGGCTGGGCCGTTCTGGCAGCTGAACAGCATTAGATACGAGCTGTTTAAATGCAGCTCCAGCTACATGTTTAGGGTTGCTCTCCATTCGGACCTCTGTCCCAATTTCTTTTGCAGCTTCCAGCGTTATTTTGGCTCCATAAAAACCTGAGATCTCCGCATCTCTGTTGAAAAGCATTGTTTTACCACTATGCTTTCATCCTCATCTTTAATGGTTGTGTGTTTCAGGTAGGGTGCAAAAAACAAACTGGACCTATTGCTGCTTTCCTTTACAAATTCCTGTTTCCTTGCTACTCTTCCATAAAAAAATGTCATATTCGTGGCATCCGCAGCTAATTAGTTTTCATTGAGCAGATTTACCTACCTAAGATGTGGAATGCTTTTATTTGCATAGGATTATATCTTGAATATCAGAGTATAGGAGGCTGAATATAAATGCACACTAAACTGATTTCTTTTTTTTTAAGTATGATGTTTCTTCAACTTTATGCACTTAGGTAGTGAACTTAATGGATGTTTGTGTTAAACCTAATCAGATGACATTAAAAGTGGTCCATTTCTCCTTTCTTTGAAACTCAAAGGAAATAGGTCTTCATTACTATTTTCTGTAAAAAGAAAGAAAAAAAAAACGTGACATTTAACAGGTTTAAAAACAGGAAATCATGTGAGTGTGCTTTGAATTTTTTTGGGCCCATATATGTGAACAACAGGTGCTGACATACAGTGTTGATATAATAAGTCTGGATGTGATCGGGTCGCACAGGTTCATTTACAGAGAAACGATCACTGCAAACTGGATTTCAGCGAATTGACGTCATTGCTTCCGTCGGCTTACCAAACTGGAACCCTGTGGTGAGGGGTTAGGCGTTTTCTTTACCGTCACATACAGGTTTCAAAAATCAATTTCAGGAATTCCTAATCAAAAGGGAAAGTCTATTCTTATAAGCCAATCTATTAACTACTATTTCATTTGTAAAAAGAAATCCCCTCCAATACCCAATAATCTTACTTGCCATGTTATAAACCATCCCATATTTATTGGGTAATATATCCCTGAATGTACAGTCATTGAAATGCTTTCCCTCTGATTTTAGTTTCTTCCCCTACGGTGGGAAAACCTTACAAGTGCACCTACTGCAGTCGCAGCTATAAGCAACAGAGCACGCTGGAGGAACATCTGGAGCGCTGCCATAGTTACATGAAGACTCTGGAACCTGCACAGATGCAACTAGGTAACACACAACACATGCAACCATGAGCCTTTCATATATTAACATATACTATATAAGGTCATTTGTCAGGGTTATTACGTTTTGGGGTTCTTCATGTACAGGTGAAGAGTCAGTAAATATGGAAAGCATCTCTAAGCCTGCGTTGCAGCCGTCCAATGAGAAAAGGCCGTTTGTGGACAGACTGACTGTCAGCATAACCAAACGCAAGAGGTCAACGCCACAGAAGTTTTTAGGTGAGTAATAATTTATATTTACAGTGTGAGTCATAAGTCTACATATACTGAGTGACAATATGAGTATCATATATTTTATTTTGTTAGGCAAATGAAAAACAGAAAAGCAAGCAGCTTTTTTAAAATCCATTTTAAACTTAATCATTGGGATTAATGCTGGTTTAAACAGAATCATTGGGTGTATAGCTAGTTTAAAACAGAAAATTGAGTTATAACTGGTTTAAACAAAGTCATTAGGTTTATAGCTGGTTTAAACAGAATCATTGATATTATGCTGGTTTGAACTGAATCGTTGGGTTTAAAGCTGGTTTGAACAATCATTGTGTTTCTAGCTAGTTTAAACATATCCATTAGGTTTATAGCTGATTACAATCAATGGGTTTAAAGCAGATTTTAGCGATCATTGGGTTTATAGCTAGTTTAAACACGATCATTGGGTTTCTAGCTGGTTTAAACATAACAATTTGGTTTATAGCTGATTTAAACAAACATTTGGTTTATAGCTGATTTAAACATAACCATTGGGTTTATAGCTTGTTTAAACTGAATCATTGGGTTTAAAGCTGAATTAAACAATCATTGGGTTTAAAGCTGGTTTAAACAGAATCTTTGGGCTTATATTGTGAATTATCTCTTATCAGAACAAGGGGTCAAAACTATACATATGGGCTCAACCATATCCATACATTAACAACGATATAATAATAACACATTCACTGGATGATCCTCACTGGATTCTTTCAATGTGTTTCAGTTTTTAGAAAATGACCCTGCTGGGATAATAATTACTTCAAATTACAGCCATCTGGCTGTCAAAGCCAAATAATTCTTAGATATTCGTCCTTTATTATTTCCTGTTGGCAGGGCAATAGACCCCCTGGTATTGTGATGGCACTCCTCATGTATTCTTTTTGCCATCAGGCCATCATAGCCCAATCATTTTTCTCATCTGACTACAGACTCCTGTTAAGCATAAAAGGGTTAATTTGGGCTCAGACACTTTTTTCTAGGTCAGCAGTCACTTAGTCCATTATGTTATTTTTTCTATTAATTGTGAACAATAACACTGGTCTTCCAGCAGTTTCTGCTTTCTGATCAGCCTGAATCTTGGTCATCTAGGGTTTTTCTTGACCTTAACCTATTAGACCTCCACAGAGGTCAGTTTGGATTTAGTGAATCCTTTACACTTTCAACAGGGCAGTGATCCAAAACACACATTAAAGCTGATTGACTTATATTTATTATCTTTAGTCTTAAGAAAACTAGCCTTCAAACCTTAGCAAGCTGTTATATTTAGCTGTCATGTTAGGGGTTTTACGGCCAGTAGTGCTGGTCATTAATCATATGCAGTGTATAGAGGAATAAAGATTGAGGGTTGACTCCAAATATTTAAGTCTTGACTTAAATGGACAGCTCAGATGTTTAGAACTTAATTATTTATACAATTATATTTTAAAATGTTTTAATTAACAGGTTTAGAACCATTTGGTTTGATAGTAAAATATTATCACTCTGTGGGAAATTCCACCCTGAACATCATTTATTGTTGACGCGGTTCTTTTGCAGGAGAAAAGCACATGCACCTTGAACCACCAGAAGCACCTTACGAACTGTCCTCTGGCTCTGAAAAGGAAGGGGATCTCCTGAGCTCCCATTCTGCTGGAGACTCATCCGGTCTGGTTAGTTCACACCTCCACTTTGCGAGAGGTAAAGCTGAGAACCACGAGTCCCCCTCGCTGCCTCAGCTCCACCCTGGCTTTGTGGCGGAGCTACGAACTGTTGTTGGTTCCCTCAACAGCAATGTGGTTCCTCAGGCCCTCCGACCTCATGGGAGTGTGGGGCTTGCAGCAGTGTCAGCCGGGCTCCCCAGGGAGGCTGGGGAAGGCCGGGATGACCAGCCCTCCACGCACAGTCACACCACCTCACCCAACGGCTGTCCAGACTCTACGGACACAGAAAGCACAGCGGAAGAGCAGAGCACAAGGGCTTCGGCCCCGACGAGTACCTCCAACAACCATCACCTCCACTACCTGACCCCAGCGCTGCCCCGCAGCCTCCCCACTGCCAGCCCCAGCCAAGCCAAAGACTTGGAGACAGAGTGGGGTCCTGTGCCCCCGGGTGTAATAAAGAGGAACCAAGGATCACCGCTCTCTGCTAGGAACAATTTGCAGGTTTTAGACAGGGCCGGCAGGCCGGTGCGTTCCTTCTACTGCCGGCACTGCTGCATCCTCTTCCTGGACCACGTCATGTACACAATCCACATGGGCTGCCACGGCTTCCGCCAACCATTCGAGTGCAACATCTGCGGCCATCCCAGCCAAGACCGCTACGAGTTCTCATCTCACATCAGCCGTGGAGAGCACCAGGTGGGCTAAAGACGAGGGGGGCTGCACGAGGAGTAGGTTGTCGCTGTAATATAAAAGGGGGCTCATGTTTGTTCTGCACCAGATCAGCTGCTTTAAATCCCTACTTTAAGTCAAATAAATCCTGAGTTTACTTTGGACTTATATCCCACATGGCATAGGTGAGTGGAAAATCTTTTTAAGGCATTGGTTAGATTAGTTTAGACAAGTAAATTATGTAAGTGATTGCACTCCCTTATCAAATCACATGGCAAACTAAAGGTTTTGCCTTAGAAGTGCCTTTGGGGATTTCCTCTGAACACACACTCTAACACAACAAAACACACACCCACACAAAAAGAAACAGAGGAGAACTGGTGCTCAAGAAACTCGATTAGCCATCCTTTCCTCGGTTATTTAGAGAATGATCACACCTAGGAGGTCATGTTCACATGCAGTTCTTGAAAGCATTTATTAAAAATATATTTTATCCAATGTGCACTAAGATTTCTGCATTAGTGGCTGAGGAGGGTGCTTTTGTGTGTCAGGTATGCTACATATGCACTGAGAGCGGTGTGTCTATGAGTGTGGGGGGGAGTTTTTGTCACAGATGAAGCACAGACGCGGACTGCCTTAACTCCTACAGTTGTGACTGTTGTAGGAAAACATATTGTTTACAGCTCGGTTCAACGGCGCGCCAAGTAGGCATGGGCTGGTGGGAGATTTTCATGGTATAACAGTAAAACAAGCCAGGCTTTTATTTTTTTTATTAAATAATTTTATTTCTTTTTTTAATAAAACCAGTTAGCAAAAAACATTCCAACTAAAATATTAGTTACAATTATAACATCATCTAAATAATTGTTGATGTAATTATTGTTTCTTTTAACTAAATCCAAACTTTGAATAAACAACTACAACAGTTAGTTGTGCTTTGTAGTGGCGCTACACTGCAAAAACGATCTAGAAATAAGTCAAAATGTCTTAAATTAAGTGTATTTACCCTTGATTTGAGTAGGTTGATAAGATGATTTGCCAGTGGAATGAGAATTTTTACTCTTAAAATAAGATAATTAGATAATATACACATGAAATAAGACAATGAAATTGTTTTTTTCTTATTTTAAATAAGTAAATTGTCTCGTTCCATTGGCAAAGTGTCTCACTTACCTCCTCAATTCAAGAAAAAACACACTTATTTTAAGAAAAAAATGACTTATCTAGATATCGATTGTTCCCAGTGTAGACTACATTTGTTTGCAGGTTAAGTAGTTAGGCTTTTAGTGTTTAAAGCAAGGTTTCTGCATGGTGTTTAAAAAAAAGAAACGCTATTTCATTTTGTCTTCTTAATCTTCTCAGAATGCATTTTTAGGAAGGTTTACATCCCTGGTTTTAAATTGCATGGAGCTGCACACAAAATAGGTAGGTTACATCTTTGTTAATCAAGAAACATTTGAAATTCATACAAATTGGTAAGAAATCTTCAAACGACATTGTCTCAAGTCAAAGCTTTAGGGAATTAAAAGCTCATCCCTCTCTATATCTAAGCCATTTCCAGTCTAAATAAAAAATGTATTTAGCATTCTAAACTAAATTGTCCAAAACCATGATGATGATTACTGTACAGGCTGGTTTTACAGTTTGAAAATGTGCAAAAGAATCCATTAAAAAACAAACATCTTTCTTGCCCTTCATAAATAAAGGCAACTTGTGCAACAAGCCTTGTTATTTAAATAATTTAAAAAAGTTGACCAATTTTCTTACAAAGACAGACATAGCATTTGCAAAGGCTGCAGGCTAACTAACCTCTTACCATTTTTTTTCATACAGATTTCCATTTCATGCTTTTCCTTTGTTCTTTTTTGTACCTCTGACCAAATGTTTTGTTCTTACGCACTTAAACCTATCAGACTGTATCAGGTTTTCTTTAATATACTTAAATGGATCACACCAGATGGTAAAATTGCAAGTATGGTTAGAAAATTTGGGCAATATTTTTTGAAATCTTTATATTAAAGGCCCTGTACCTCATTCTACACAGTCTTAAACCATAGGCGAGAAAAGTTTTCTATAAGCCCCGCCCCTAACCTTCTACCATTGAGAAACCTTCCTCCCACTCTGCTTGCAGGTGGTAACGCACACATCTTGTGATAAAAGTAATGAAAAGATACCCGTCTAGGGGGACTAGAGCCAGATTAGAGTCCAGATTGAGTGTGAGGTGGTCCTGCAAAGCTTTCCATCTCAAGTAGGTTGTTCCAAAGTTCTTTGGTCATTCTTGCATTTCAACTCTCTCTTCCCTTCCTTTGTTTTGAACCTTTTAGGCTGTTTGCTGTTTATGCAGTGAAAAGCAGCTGAGGTAATGCAGCGTTCCCTATGTGTCTGCTAGGGGTGTGGGAAAAGATGGTTTTGACAATATATTGTAATTTTCGGCTGGCTGATCTACTATCGATTTTTAATTTCTTAGAATCGATTTAAATAAACAAAAGATTTTCACCTCAAACAATGAGGGAGAATGGGCTACCTCTCGCAGATGGCGCTGTGGAGCCCTTTTGCTGTGCGGCGCAGAGCAATATCATCTGATGAACATATACAGCACTTGTTTTTTTTAACTATTCATTTTATTTTGATAGCTGGGAAAAATATCGCAATCTATAGTGATAATGCAATATCATGATAATATCTTATCATGACCCAAGTATCGTGACACGTATCGAATGGCAACACCCATGCCAACACTCACCACAGTGTCCGCCATGCTTCTCCGTTTACAAGGCGTTCCATTTTCGCACTTTGAGAAAACACCACATGTTGAGAAACACTCATAGTGGCTCACTTGAAACCGGAAGCTCTAGAGAATGAACCCTATTGGCAGAGAAAACCATCACACTAAAGTTAGAAGCCTACACTAAAAATGCCTGGACTCCTGCATATCCGGTGATTTATTCTGCTACATAATATACCATGTAAAAAGCCGAGTAAAAAAATTAAATAATATAAATTAAAATAAATTTAGGTACAGGGCCTTTAAGTTTCATTTCTGAATCTCCTTACAGTCGCTTTCGATGTACTGCACTATTACATGTCTAAAACCTCAGCTATAAAGACAATAAATTGTAAGAAAAAAAAGAAAAAGGCATACTTACCAGCAGCTTTAAAAGTTTTAGAATGGTTTTACCCGTAATAGGTGTTTATTTCTGCTCCATAACTTTAACTGGTATTTATCACTGCAAATGTTTCCAGACTATCACATTTTCTTTGCTGTAAGTAATGGATGGTACCTTTTTTTGCAGCCTGACATGCAATATGTAGAAACAGGTTGGTGAGTGGACAGTAGCTTCTTGTCAAACCTGTTATTTCTCTGGCGCGTTTCCTTTCTCTAAACCGTAAAGCCGACAACCGGCCCATGCCTTTAAAAAACGCCGACTGTGTAGAACAGAGCCTCAGGATGAAGCTAATTAATGAAGTAAAATTAGGATGAAGAAGGTTTTAGGATTTCAAAGAAAGTTTTAGGATACTGGTGCAGATCAGACCATGAGCTTTGTTTTCTAAGAGCCTCACTGAAAGGACCTAGGGTGCTCTACCTCTCTGCAGGATTGGACATTTTAGAATAGGTTCCCTGCTTATATATGAACATCCTTACTGAAGCACTTCACTGCTTTACAGAAACCTTACCACGGACATAACAGTGACAATAACCGACCCACTGATTTATGTGGGGTGTTTACTGGAGCCGGCCTTCTGCACTTTGGTTTGGGACTGGTAATGGGGAACCATCAGCTCATCTTAAACGATCCAGCTGGATCTGAGATTTAAAAACAAGTTCCATATTATAAATGATTTAAGAAATTATTTAAAGATGAATTAGTAGAAAATCAGTTTGGATCTCTTTTGTTATTATCTCACCTGTGATTATCTACTTAGTGTTGTTTGTTTCTGCCTTGATGTATTTAATCAGCTATATTCCAAATCTTATCCAGCATATTCCTCAAAGTCCATGAAATGTTACCTCCTGCTTCTTTATGGCACCCAAATACCTTATTGCTACAGTGGTGAATGATTTGATGATGTGAATATCGGGAAAATGAATGAAACCAAACTCAGTATTCATACTTGTTATTGTTGGTTTGTTGCTTTATAGTTTAACTTGAGTTTCTTTGGTAAGCAAAATGTACTTGAAAACTGTGTAAAAAAAAAAAAAAAATATATATATATAAATGCACTTGGGTTTGATATGTATGTGTGAGTGTGAATGGATTACAGCATAGGTGCTTGTCATTTTCTGCTTTTACCTGAATTGTGAATTATTTTTGAAACGTGAAGTGAAAACGAGGCGTGGATCTTATTTGTCCCCTCCTCGTGTTGACTTGATGTTCTACGGGCGAAAAAAACAACCTCTGTGAATGATGTAACATAACAAAAACACTTTTACCTCAAACCTTGAGATGTACAATTGCCTCATTAGTTAAAAAGAACTAAAAAAAAACAAATTGTAAAAAAAAAAAAGGTCATGTCGCTTTCCAAGATGTCTTTGCGGTTACAGATTGCGTGCTCCTTGATATTTTCAAAACTTTTTACTGTCAATAAAGTAACATTTATTGTAAAAATTTATTCTGTCTTCTTTTACTACCGGTAATTGATTCTGAGTCTGTGCTCTCAGTCACCACAAGTATGATTAAGAGTTATGATTGAATATTGAATGTTGTCATATATGCATTACATTACAGAGACTCATAAACTGTTCTGGTAGATTTTAATTTATTTAATTTCTATTAAAAGTGAATTAGCATAAAATGGATGATAAATTGTATAAATGGGGAATCAATTTAGAAAAATAATCCTGTTTTTTTTATTTACATTTTACTAAAAAAACGTCACCTATCTACATAATAAGAACAAAAATCTTTATAGGCATTAAAAGCAAACTCTTGCTTTTATGAGTAACAGCTTTTTCTTTTTTAAATCTTTTTTGAGGAGCGTCAAGTGTGTTGAGGTTGAAAGACCTTCCTTGCTCAACCCTAATATTTAGCAGCTCCCTCCATAGTCTTGACTTTGGCTTGACCACTAAAAAACATTAACATTACATTCAGTTGGAAAAAAAACATGTCTATAAAATTACCAGATTACTTTAAAGCTCTGTCCTCCTGGCATATGAACAATAGTGGCCTTAACTTTATTTCTTAATGATCATTCAAGCAATATTAATGCAGTAATTCCTAACTGCTAATTATTTGCTCCAACTCACATAGGTGAACAGGTACATTTTGCCTTTATGTACAGCACATATCTATATATATATATATATATATATATATATATATATATATATATATATATATATATATATATATATATATATATATATATATAAGCTAAACTTTTAAATTAGTTCTTCATCACTGTCTTCTCAAGGCTGATGTAATCTTTGTTGCATGTTCACCTTTTTCAACAGCAGTTTTTCCTTCCACTTTAATTTCTGATGATGTTTCTCAAAACAGCATTTTGTAAAGAGCCAGTTTCTTAAGCTAGGAGCTTTTACAGCTTATGCTGGTGGTGGATGGTGTTTGTGCTTGGTTATTGTAGAGACGGCAGTCATCAAGGTTGCTGTACGGATGTAAGGGGAATGTTGTTTATTACCTGTGCCAAGGAGGTCATTTTATCTGTAGCGCTGGTTTGTTGCTTGGCAAGATTATGGGAAGGAGTTCTCTGAAATGTTCATGTCTGAAAACTCAGAATTTTGGTGGCAATCCAGATAACAATCTGGATTAAGCAGCTTTTTTTTTATAGGATTCCTTAACATTGTGTGATTGGAAAAAGATGGAAGTCTGGGCACTTAGAATGCTTTCTAGTTTCATTATGTTCTATGTCAAATTCAAGCACTGATAAGCTGAAATTTAGTTTCTCATTAGCTGAGAAAGCAAAAAGCTTGACACAAAACTTATATCTTTGCCTGTAAGGGTGATGAACCTGTAAAATAATATGTTTCCCTTTATAAACTGAACAATAATTAAGGGATTATGCATT